GCGGGATGCAGCATAAGCACAGTCTTCGAAGTTCCCCGACTCTACTAGTACACGGAATACGGCACAGTCATCAACCCGAATGCTAGACCTCGAGGCCGGCCGCGCACTCTGGACATGCAGGATATGAACTTCGTGCGATCAGTAATTGAGGGAGAGCCTGCTATCTACCTTGATGAGCTACGAGATCGAGTCTACAACAGACTACACAGCACATGCAGTTTGTCAGCCTGAGGGCGGGCTGCAGTCTACAGAGTCACACAGTCACAAGAAGCCATCTCGCATTACTGCATATGGGTATATTTGGCTCGAACAAACAATGCTCACGGAAACCCGATTTTCGGTTTCATATGCAAATGACTGTAAAATACGACGCAGCACATCGTGCATACACCAGTACGCGTGCGCCGTGTACAGGGACTATTTGGCTTAGATACTAAGTTTCAACATTCAACCAGCGTGAAGCCAACCCACTGCCATTTCCGCCGGTTTCAGGGTTATCGAGCAAGCTCGGAGACGTCGACACGCAGGGAGAACGGCCAAATCAATAGGTACTGTAAGCTATTTCTGGTATCAGGATTCGTAAGTGGGAGTTCAGAACGTTACTTCCCCCTCTGACGTAGTATTCGAAACAAGGCGCTCACTGCGAGACAAGAGATCCGTTCGAAACGTGATGCTCCATCTCTCCTTATTGACATGCAGAGAATGAATGGCACTCCCTCGCTGCAGGTGCGATACCGAGATGTCAAGTCCAATGACACACATTGTCAGAGACCGTCGTTTCACGGTCAGGACGACGAGTGCGGAACATTGGGAAAGGTATGTTAGAGGACCCGGAACTCGATTTTAATGAAGCAAAATCGAGACCGATGGCATCGGCGCCATTGGGGGAGTGGATCGTCGGCCTGCGTAGCGCAGTAGAGACAAAGCTAACATAGTGCGTTATTATAGGACTTCATTCTGGCATCCTTCTCCACGGTCGTGGCAGTGAAGCCATACCTTACAAGGCCGATAACTTAGAGACAACCAGGCCAATACAGTATCTGTCCCGCTCAGGTCAGACAGGTGCTTGTATACCCTGAACACTATGCCAGATGTGAGTTTAATGCCCGCATGACGTCGCTGCTTGACTCATGCGAGTTCAGACAACTTTCCACATTGCCAGCTTCCGTCTTCATATCCGGCCGCCGGATACTCAACGTCTTGTCGTAGATCCGGTTGACACTCCGAAGAGCCGCTCGATCTACTGGAGCCTCGCATCCGCCTAGCGCCAGAGTCAGGATGCCGGCATAGGCGACGTTCTGTTCCCTTGCGATGGAGGCTAATCGGCGACCATAGCCCCCGCAATGTCCTATTCCAAGAAAAGGTGGCATACTCTCTTATCCGTCTGGTTCGCATTTCCCTCAGCCAATCTCCTGGTCCTTTCCAATACTGTTTAGTCCACAGGTATAAAACCTGGACGGTTAGCTCCTAAGTCTCAGCACTCGCCCTCTCTCGACATAGCTCACAATGGCCTCTCCAAAGCAGTTCTATATTCCTGACCTTCTTGCTATCTCTCCGTTTGAAGGATCTACCAACCCTCACTACGAGAAGGCTGCTGCGGAGTCTTCTCTCTGGGTTGGCAGCTACAAGCTATTCACCAACCGAAAGCGCCTCTTCTTTGTGCTCGGGAGTAATGAACTTCTGGTCTCGCATGCCTACCCTTATGCTGGCTACGAGCAGTTCAGAACCTGCTGTGATCTGGTCAATCTACTATTCGTGATTGACGAGGTCAGCGACGAACAGTCAGGCGATGAAGCATTGCAGACAGGCCTGTCTGTCCTGCGCGTCTTCAAAGATCCCAAGTGGGACGACGGCTCGACCCTCGCTAAGATGGCCAGAGAGTATGTACAGGCTTTCAGGAAGGATGCATCGTGCCGCCTCATTGACGTCACACTCTCAGGTTCCGCGGTCGACTGGGCAATGGCGCAGGCCCGGGCTGCCTCCGCCGATTCATCAAGCGGTTCGAGGAGTATGTATACGCTGTCGCCCAAGAAGCAGAGCTACGAGCGCAGAAGGAAGTGCTCACCTTGGCTACGTATATCCCGTTGCGTCGGGAGAATAGCGCAGTCCGAGTGTGCTTTGCCTTACTGGAATACGTCTTCGGTGTTGACCTGCCTGACGAGGTCTTTGAGGATCCGATTTTCATGGACATGTATTTTGCCGCTGTAGACTCGGTCTGCTGGTCCAACGTGAGTACTATGTGTTTTGAGCACGACCTGGCTGATTAACACCATCTTGTCAGGATCTCTATTCTTATAACATGGAGCAAGCAAAGGGACACACCGGCAATAATGTCATGACCGTGCTCATGAAGGAGAAGAATTGTTCCCTTCAAGAAGCCGCCGATTATATCGGACTACACTTCCAACAGTTGGTCGATACATTTGTGACGAATAAGAGGAAACTGCGGTCACGGGGGCCGTCTGACGACGCGGACATCGCCAAGCATATCATGGGGATGGAGAACTGGATGATAGGTAACCTCGAATGGAGTCTGGAGACCCAGAGGTACTTCGGCGCCGAGGTATCAAAGGTCAAGAGAACACGCCTTGTCGTCCTCCGTCCCCGGGAAGAGGAACATGATGACCAGTAAAGTGAGTATCTACAGTTTTATCCCATTGACACAGTCACTCAGAGATCACAGTACAGTGGTGTTATCTTGTCATACATCAAGTGATCCACTTCAGATGCAGACCCAAGGTCCAGAGGTTTATTTCTTGGATTACCAGTGTAGACGGCTCGCACTTCTTTTGATATCATATACTACCTGGTTCTTCCCAACGTTCTGGTACAGCTAATTTGTCTTTCCTATTACAAGACTCCATATATAATTGCTCCCTTCCTGTCCGATCACTAGTACAGCTTGCTCCGTCTAGCCTTCGATATGCTATGTACTGTTATTTTTATTCCTGTTCAGATTGTCTGGCCCCAGTTTCGTCTTTTCTATGACTCCTTCAAACTACCAGTGCAGTTTACTTGCCATATCTACGATCACTTGTATTACTCTCAAGAGTATGCTTTCTTGGTTATAATTATAATAGCAGTTACTATAACGCCTTCTTGTTATCATTTCCATAAGAATCTAGCGCTCTGACGCGACCCCACCCTGTGGATATCTAAGACGCGTCCTGCGTAACTGTACAACAGAACCCCGCACCCACCCACACCTCTTCAAGCTAGCCCAGCGGCGCAGAGGATAATGTTGAGGGCAACGTAGATCCCTAACACGTCAAGACCCCGAGGTCTCATGCTTGGGAAGTCTTGCAAGAAATAACATGCCGTACTTTAAACATTCGTAAACTAGATCAAGATACATGTCAACATATTCTTGCCAGACAACCGACCCAACATAGAACAACTGGGGTGCTGACTTCTCCATAACACAGAAGGATAGATGGTACCACAGAACAACCTCACGTATCAGACATACAGCCACCGCCCGCGAGACTCGGCCCACTCGGGCAACTCTAAGACGGACTTCTCCTGGAAGGTCGCTCTCAACGGCTCACGAGATAAGTAGGCCTCATCATTCGCATCATTAGGGGTTTCAGGCGGCGTAAAGGGCGCATCCTGGCCGTACGGGGATAGGATACCCAGTCCGCTGCCACCCACAGACGTTAGGTAAGGCTGGAAATTGTCGGACAACAAGTCAGAGATGAGCTGTTGCAACAGTTCTTCTCGCATGTCTACGGAAGTACGTCAGCGAATCCGATGACCCGACGGGAGTAATGACTAACCATCAGGGACTAAAGTGACCGCGCACCCGCCACCGCCAGCCCCGGTGAGCTTGGTGCTCAGCTTGTAGATACTCTGAGCGGTCTTGGCTCTAATGGCCTCCAGAGATGCGTGTGATACCCCCAGCGAAACCAAATGGGCATGGTTCTCATCGATGAGTGCCTGCGACAAACGCATCGGTTCAATTGACCGCGAGCGAAGATTCATTCGACTGTGACTCACAGATAGAGCCGAGAGCAAGGCTTCACGTGACAGCTCAGGATCAGCCAAGGCGCGCCGGGCTTCGTCGCTAATACTTTGAATGCCATCTAGGATAGCGTTGACGACCTCAGGCTCCTAGAGCACGACTTCTGAGTCGCAGGTCGATTCGGAGCTTGTGAGAAGCAGCGTACCCTTGCTTTCTTTTCCGAAACTCCCGCTACAAGCTTCTTCGTGTCCCGAGGCACCTTGGAATCGGTAAGCAGGAAACGCAAGGACTTGAAGCTATGCACAAATAACATGAAATTGACGTGCGATGTCACGGCCGCTATAGACTGAGATACGCACCCATGAATAGGCTCCATGCCGCTCTTCTTGCCAAACCCAGCCCTGGTATAGGCCAAGGCACCTCCATACACGGAAACGGAATTATCAACACCGCTAGGATTCCCGTGAAGGATCTTCTCTGCAACGAAGGCCCATCTATTGACCTCCTCGGCTACAGGAGGGGGGATCGCACGCCGGCCCTGGTGAGACACATGGATATGCCCAGGATCACTGCCGTGGCCCTCTCTTGTAGGTGCGGGTAGGGCAGGGATAGAGATCCTTTGGTGTAAAAGTAGCAGTGTAGTTGCTGCGCAAACGGAGAACGATGCCGACGATCCTAGCCCTGCCCCGATAGGCAAAGTAGATCTGGCAGAGAAATTGAATGAAGGCCTTGAAAGGCGTGATGAATTGGCATGCACAGCTACGCAAAGAAGCTGTGAAACGGACACCCACCTTTCTCCCCCATGCGCCAGAATCATGTACAGATACAAAAATGCGGTGGCCGCGCCTCGTGCCTTCGGAGCTGCATCAATGGATGCCGGTAGAGCCCTCGTTGAGATGGCTTCCATGAGAGTTTGGTCTAATTGTTCAGGGTGCTCTTGTCCAACCTGTATGGTCGTCACGGCGTCCCACGGTAAATTATTTATATCCCATTCATGATAGAAGTTTTCGATGTCGCAAAACTGTACAGACAATTTCCCGTCATGTCTGGGAGTTGTCAAGCCATAACAACGCAGGTCGACTGAAGCGGCGACTGCCGTCTATGCAATGCAATGATTTATTAGTCATAGCAGGTCCTCAATCTATCCCTATTACTCACCACGCCATGGACGACAGCGTGTTCTCCAAAGAGAATCACCTTGCCAGGGGCACTGACCATCCATTCTCTATATTCTCTGGGCCGCCTGGTCAAGCCAGAATCATTGAACGCCAACTTCTCCACAGCACGACTGATGGACACCTCGGTCTTAGGCAGAGTCGTGCGCACGTATTGGTGCTCGTCCGCGTTAGCCGAAACAGTGATAGCGCCAGCCTCGAGCAATGCTCGCTCGAGATCGTCCAATAGGTCTTCGGGGTCTTCGATTCCCACGCACAAACGAATGAGGTCCTCCGGAAGGCCCCGGGCCGCACGGGTAGCGGCGTCGATGGAAGCATGTCTGAAATGTACAGTGGATTGGAACGGCCAATTTGCAAGACAGAGGGCACTTACGACATCACACAGGGCATACTGATCAATGAATTGACTGCGCCGAAACTGACGCTGATACCCCACAGGCGAGTCGCCCCGACAATTCTCTCGCTCAGGGCTTTATCGCCAGTAGTGAAGCTCAGGACCGCACCATAGCCGGAAGCAATGCGTTCATGAACTTCACGGCCAGGGTGATTAGGAAGCCCGGGATAATTTACTTTGAAGCCCAGCCGCTCGAGCATAGTGGCAACTCGCATAGCCGTAGATTGCTGACGGTCCATGCGGATCGCCAATGTCTTGGATCCCCGAAGCAGGAGGAAACAGTCGAAGGGCGTAAGTGCATTCCCAACAGAGTTAATTATGAATGCCATGTGCTAGATTAACATAGCCTTAGTGACCGTGCTACATCCAGTACAGCAGAAAGGGACATACCTTCGCTAGGTCATCTCTGTTGCATACTATTACGCCTGCCATCAAGTCATGATGGCCGCTGAGGTATTTCGTGGCGCTATCATACACTATGTCTGCACCGTAGTCCAGGGGCCGCTGACAATAAGGGCTCATCATGGTATTATCGACAACGATAATTGCGTCAGGAGCGCGCTCTTTCACGTCCGCTGCAATTTTCTGGAGATCGACGATCTTCAACAGGGGATTCGTCGGGCTCTCAAGCAGGACCATCGCGGTCTTGCCTGCCTTTACATGGGGCAAGACGTTCTCCGCGACGGTAGTGTCTACGTGGTGCACGGTAACGCCGCCGTTCGTCTTCAGGTACGTTAGGAGGCGGTTGGTGCCGCCATATAAGTCATCTCCTGCGATGACTTCGTCTCCGGGCTTGAGCAAGCGAGTAATCACATCCAGAGCGGCCATTCCCGACGAAACAGCGAATGCATGGCCGGCCGATGAGATCTTTGCAATATGGTGTTCTATGGATAATTGATATGTCAATTCACCGATTGAATACCAAGGTGTGTATGACAGAGTAGACTGGTATCCGTAGGCAGCGAACGGAATTTAATGAACGGCTCGGCAGCAGTGCAACAGCCTTCGAGCACGGACAAACGGGTGCTTACCGAGGTGTGTTCTCGTAGGGTTCCCGCTCCTGGTATAGTCATATTCCCCTGCAACACCCTTGAACGTGGCCGTCTGGTAGATAGGAACCGAACTCGAGCCGTATTGATCCTTTGCGAAGGGATTGTCGACCGTCGCACATAAGGTGGAGAAGCGGTACGGCTTGCGCGAACGGTAAGGGGACTCTGGGTCGGGCGTCGGCAGATCGTGCGCACCAGAGGCTTTTTGAGCGGCCATTAATGCTACCCGGCAGTGGTGGTCAGAGAGTAAGACGTCGACCAGAGTCGTTTGACCTGGCAGCAAGTTGGGAATCTCGGAAGCCTGCCTAGTCAAGGCAGATGGCGTGCTCATATCCTAAGTACCGATTGTCTCACGAGCGACCGTCGGCAGCGGCCGCTGTGGCGTCGGCCACATCTCCGATTCATGTTTTGGTGACCTGGTCTGCGAAGTCGGCATCTGTGGCGACTCCCAAGTCCGCAATATCTGCGTCTCATCAAATAGTTTCCGTAGCGTCCGGGATCATACTACCAAGATGCCTCCAAAGCGTGGTCGACGTATGTCGTTACCTTAATCCTGGAGGCGAAGGAACATATCTGTCGCAGCTCGGAGACAGGTACAGAGTACCGCAGCGAACGCGCAAGTATGGATAGACCCTGATGTGCTAGCCAAACGGACCAAGAAACATCTTGAGGAACTCGAGGTTGGTCTTCTTTGAGGTTTACCTAGCCAGCGCAGCTAACGCATCCTCCGACTGACTCCAGCGTTCTAATTATACTGAGCCTTCTGCAACGCTTACCGGCGCCGATGATGAAGAGCCAGAAAGAGGGTCATCCGTCCGAGGCCGTGCTCGTCAGACAATATCAGACAAACGGGAGCATGGGAGGAAAAAGAAGTCGACCATGAACGTCCGTACTGCATTGCTTTACCGGAAGAATCTGACTACCCTCATTGAGGAATCTGTGCGTACACTATTCCCTGATATTCGGTAGTAACTAATTCACCCAAACAGGGAATATCTTCTCTACCAGCCAATTGCCCAACCTATCTCACAGCCGTCGTGCCTCCTCCGAACGAACCACCTCGCCTTATTTGCAGTGTGTGCGGTTACTGGGGCAAGTACAAGTGCGTGAGATGCGCTATGCCGTACTGCGATCTCAACTGCGAGGCAGTCCACAAAGAGACGAGATGCGAGAGACGCGTGATATAGACGCGAATAGTGGTTTTCTGCTGAGGCGGAGGGCCGTCCTGTACTGTCAGTTGAGCTCTTCTCTAGGTTTGCGCAAGAACGTCTGACACTCATTCATCAAGAGAGATACTCGTGGCACCCATCGCTCTATAAGCATTTGCTCTAGTGACAGCGGATCAAGCCCGTTCGGGGGTTTACGCGTTTACGATCTGAGCGAATGGAAAGAGTATGCTACGGTAAAGAGGACGTTAGTAGGTCGCAGCTGCCGGAGACTCTTGACGAAGGCGAGTTAAAGGTGTAAGGCGATCTACACATATCACTGTAACGTTAGGTACCGCATATCGAGTCATGGAAGCGTTTCTGCCACCGTTGAATATTGAGCTCCCTCACTGCATGGATGACCTTTGCTGAGATGATAGATTACCGGTTTCGGCATTTTACTAAGTACGCGGGCGTGACACGTCATCCACGTACCCTTGTCATGTCTCTACTGGACTCAGTGCATATTTGGTCGACATTGAATGGCTAACTGCAAGACAATCCATGATCTCAGGAGGTCCAAGGTATACGCTGGGATGCTGTGCCTGCTTTTGCTACAAAGGAAATAAATGCCGGAGCCTGATGCATCCGATTGACGATGTGTGCCCGAGACCAAGTTTATCTGCAGGGCCAGCGCTAGGATCGAAATGCGACGTCTACCTGGTTCTCCTATCGACTTCCCTCGTTTGTCGCTAGCAGTGTCCTCGGAGGAGCTAAGTCGTGCGCGCCATGCGGATGCCGCAAGTAGCTCGCGATTCACTGACGACGACGCGGGCGTCCGATCAAGAAGGGAACCTGAAGCTTAGCCAGTTCGCGAAGCTCGACAAAGTTCCTTCGGTCTATGTACTCCCTGTCCGGTCCCGCGCTGTGCGTGTGGATGGCCGCGGATCAAGATATCCAAGGCACCAATGTCGGGTGCAGTGTACCTGTCTCTGATGATCTGGCCTGCCAAAACTACGAAGGTGCCTTTGCTGGCAATTCGTTGCACGAATCTGGTTCTCGATCTTGTGGGTCGCTAAGCTCAACAGCGGGGTATTAATCTGAAGTCTTTGGCTTCCTAGATAGACTACTTTGCGCAATCTATCTCAGGAGAAACTTTAAAACGCTATTCAGATTTCAGGTCAAGGAGTTCTGCGGAGTCACTTATGCACTTAGCGACATTACATCTGACATGCGCCTCAATTCAGAATGTGTGGAATTCATCCGTGTTCCTTGTGGGAGCCGTTCACACCAAACCATGCTTTTGCCTGGCAGCAGGCACCTCTCACAGCGTCCCCGAGCCGTCGGACCTATCCCACTTTGTCCGTACCCGTACTAACTTTGACCGCGGCTACAGAGCGTCTCCGGCGCGTTTACCTTGCAGCAAGACCTCGGACGGACGGAACGTACGTTCGCTACAGAGACTTTGTCAAAATCATACTACGTCCTCTCCTTGCGCTTCCGGTTTCCAGACGGCCGCGGGGACGTCTGGCATTGAGCTTCCTCGCCCCTGCCTTCAGTACTTCTAGCTGACCTCCCTCGGATCAACTCAACAGTTCGGCGGGGACGTGCTATTCGAAGTGGTCATACCAGGCGTTCACTGCAATACTACGCGGGATCCAGCCGAACCATGTATCTGTTTGGGTCAGCTTTCTTCTTTGGACTTTGCTTAGTTGAGCCCAGAATACCTCAGTCGGTCCACATTCATGCATATTGCATTGTCGGGCCTTCAATCAACCACGTAGCAACGTGAGTGAACGTGCATGGTGGCGGACCGCGAACATGGACCATCAGGATTCCGAGACTCTAAGGCTAGGTGGCTCGATCGAACGTCGACTGTATGACGTCGTGGAACAATAGGCAGAGATGAAGCTTGAAGCTGAAGCTGAAGACCGATCTTCGCGCCATAGATCAAAAGATCCACGGCATGTTGTCCCGGATCTTCCGTGGTCTTGGCTGTGCTGCGATTTACATTGCCAGTGGAATATCATATATCACTTCCCAGTCATGCCGGGCGTGCTGTGATGGGCATGTTCAGTAGTGCTGCTGGCAAGCCCCCCGGCGCAACTCTGGAGAAATAGAAAATTTCGTCGCGATCTGCTCCAATTCCAATCTTCGTTCCTGCTCGGGTACATATTATTTTGGAATCGCATCGTCTACGTACGGAAGGTTGTCAGCGTTCAGTGCATAACACGTTGGCCCCCCGCGGTAGCAGTACTTCTCTACTTTTGTCACTGCACCCCAAAACGCGGATGGTAAACTGGTACTCCGCATTGTCCTACTTAGCGGAAGCCTGAGGCTCGGTTTTCGTTTGGGGTGATGGGAACTTCTCTGAAACATGGATACAGATGCTAGCTTCCTGCCGGTACACGGGTCCACCTGCTCAGTAATCCTGATGCGAAGCTCACGGCGAGAGGGATATACGGGATTGTCGCGATTGCGGGACACGCGACTTTTGGTGTGAATGCCAATCACATATGTTGGGCACGATGCTGGCCTCGTTGACGCTCGCTTACTTACTAGGGAAACGTTCACTCAGCACAGGTGTTTCATCTGAGGCGTCTCCACAATAACAAGATAATGATACCGTACGTTAGAATACATGTTGTCCTAAAGTAGTCTAGGCGATTCAGTCAAGATATTATAATCAAATAGGCTTGCAAGATAAGTAGCGTTATAGGATAGGTCGTGTCGTGTAGCTGAGGACACGATGCAGTCAGTACCGAGTGCAGCGGCCATGAGGTCATGACTCACCGTGTACGAAAGCTATAGTCAATCTCAATCTTCCCGCGGCAGCAGAGTGATCAGGCGTGTGTGCTTGACCTCAGCGTGATTGGCGCCGAAGTACCTCTGAGTCTCGAAACTCCATTCGAGGTTACCAATGATCCAGTTCTCCATCCCTCTCACGTAACCCGCGACGGCCTCATCGACCTCGGGGCCCCAAGAAGGGAGGCGCTTCTTGTCCGCTTCGAACCGCTGCATCAAGTCCGTGAAGTACTTGCCGATGTAATCGGACGCTTCTTGGAGCGTGAAGTTTTTGGCCTGCATGAGCACCGTGACGATGTTATTGCCACCAATGCCCTTGGCTTGTTCCATATTGTACGAGTAGACGTCCTACAGCACCATGATGTCAATGACAAGCCACACCAAATAAGCTACTGACTTACGTTTGACCAGCAAACCATGTCACAAGCGGCCCAGTATAAGCTCATGAAAGTGTGGTCTTCGAAGACTTCGTCGGGCAAATCGATACCGAGGCAGAACTCGAAAAGTCCGAAACAGAGGCGGACTGCGCTGTTCTCCCTGCGGAGGTCGCGGAATGCATCCCTCCCAAGGACTTCACCACGCTCCCGGTATTCAGCCTCTTTCGCGACAGCCTCAACGTAGTCCTCAGAGTGCTTCAGGAATCTGCGCAGGCATCCAGGGCCGGCATGGCGCATGAAACGTTGTCGGAAACTATCAACGGATCACGTCAACCTTAAACTCGTGTCTCAGGGTCGCAGATCAACTCACTCTCTCGTCATCTTGGCTAGCGCGGACCCATCGTCCCAGCTCGGGTCTTTCATAACATTGACATAGGTCAGTCCGGTTTGGCGGGCGTCGGAGCCGTTCTGCTCGTCGCTCACTTCGTCTATGACGAAGAGGAGGTTGACGAAGTCGCAGCATGTCCGGAATTGGTCGCGATCGGCATAAGGATACGTGTGCGAGACAAGGAGTTCATTGCTACCCAAGACGAAGTAGAGGCGTTTCCGGTTCGTGAAGAGGTTGTAGCTGCTGACCCAGGCGGACGACTCGATGGAGACCTTGTCGTAGTGAGGGTTGGTGCTGCCTTGAAGAGGGACGACCGCCAGTAGATCCGGAAGGTAGAATTGCTGGAGAGGTGCGAAGGGAGACATTGTGCTGTGGATCTGGGGAGGGGGGATATGCTACGATGCACTGTCAGGAAAACATGGCAGGGCTTTTATAGCCCGGACGCGTTTCTGTCCGGGAAGTTATCGTACTTGCAGCTGTGTCGGGAGGCAAGATCTGAAGATAAAAATTCATCGAGATCCCGGAAATGAACGAGATTATTCGCAAAATCGATTATGTACGGCCTTCTCATGCGCACGAATTAAGCGAAGGGACGTTACGTCGTCTTGCAGACCCGTCTGTGCCGGCATGCTGTACGATGGCCCGGTAGACGGCCATCTGGTATTCAAGATCGATAGCAACTTCCCGAAACATATTTTCCTACGGCCAGGGGATGGATACAGTGACACAAGGCGTCATGAAGCTGCGCGGAGAGCAAACGTGGGGAATATTGTTCCTTGCGAGTCATAGCCCTGAGCGCTTGAGGTTGACCAAGGTCTGACCAAGTTTCGCATCCCACAGAAATGGACGGCCTAGTTCCGCGTCGAAATCAGCACGATGTGACTGCCCGACATCATAGTTAATGTGCTTTTTGTTCTTCATCTCAATTTCCGCCGGTTGAAGCTCTGCAGTTCTAATGCACGAAATTAATGGACGGCGTTCAGGCTGGTTGCAACAAGTCGAGATCCAAGACTCCCGATCTTGCTGATTGTTTCATAACAAGACGGAAGCAGATTGGTGCCTTCTTGGGACGACTAAGAACGTGAGCTTCTCAAAAGTTGATCCGCCTCATCTACCTTTCAGGAAACTCGACTCCTTGAACGCCGGCCGTCCTACGGAAATTCGATACGATGTGCATGTTTCTGTGCGGCTATACACAATTCCAGACTAAAATTCTGTCGCAAGCTTTTCGGTCCGGCTCCGACGCTCCAAGTACTGCCCGCTGATCAAAAAAGCGCACTCCTTGCCATGTGTCAGCCCTAAATCCAGCGAAGGACTTGCGCAATGTCTGCGTATTCAGCAAAAATAGGTATGCTACACTTCTATATCTCGTCCACTTCCGTAGTAACAAGGAATGTTTCGGCGGTCGTGTGCTGTGGTCTTGATTGATAGCTCGAGCAACGTCGCAGTGGCTGTCCACGAAAAGTGGCCATCTGCCTGATTGCACTGCGGCCTAACCCAGTGGTACACCCGGTCGTTATGGCCAGAGCCCCTGCGCACTTGGATATCCGTGCTGCCCGTGATATGACGCCACCATAGGTACGCATTGTTTAGTAGGCAGCCACTTTAGCTTCAGCTCTACCAGTGTTGCGGCTTGTAGGACAAGGCGGCCCAGTAAGTCGCATGACGGCCCATCTGACTGACTGCCCCCATACCCACAGTCTAACCAACCCTGAGATCCGCTCAAAAGAATTAGAACTGGGAGGGCCACCAGATTTCGGCCTCGAGATCGTACGACGAAGGAATGGCTACCCGCTGCATGGCTCCGGCGTTTGCAGGCCTGCCAGCACCCAGTCGGGAACGCGGGTATTGATGGTACCTCAAATGCAACGGCGTAAGCCTACCATTTCATTGGCTGCCACGATCGAGTGTCCGTGCCACCCAGATAGGTGGAAGGTCCTTTCCTAGACAGAAGCGCCCTGCATTGGTATTCGGGATCTGACTGGCGTCTATGGTGGACGGCGTGGCCTTCGGCAATTCTATTAGATCTATCACCTACGCGTTCCCGCCACCGGTCTGTCAGATGTCAGCCAAACGGCTCCGATTTGGACGGATATCTGACCCCTCGTCGCGTGGAATGGCCGCAGGTACTCTACAGCTCGACTCTCAGACCATCTATCAATTAGCATGCCGATGGTCTGTGCTGGTCGCCGAGACTGAGACGGATGGACTGCTGTATCCGGGCTAGGGGCTAGCGGTGAATGTACGATTGCTCGGTACTCGGGATGATTTGCAAGCTTTGCCACATCCATCCGGATTGGAAGGTACTATGACGCGTATCCTTCTAAGGAAGATTCGCTCGACAGGACTACCGTCCGTCTTCCATGTTTGTTGAACCGGAGTTTCTTTACAGGAACGCACTGGTGCCGGATGGTCTCAGCCGACGTCCAGTGCGACGAATGGTCGACGATCCGTCTCTGGGATTTTCTGATCGTTCCGACGTTCTATCTTCGTGTTCCCCGACCGCTCCTTCGTAACTCACAATCCATTGTCCCGCTCGAAACACACGGGCATCCCGAACATCCTCGTGGTTTCGACCTCATTGCGCGCGCAAGTCTTTTTTTATACGTTTCGGCCACACTCGGCGACCATGGAGGCGCTGATCCCTGGGGATTCGATTTGAAAGCGAACTGATCTCTACTACGTTCCAGGTACTGCCTACGTGATGTCTCGGCCCTTGAAGACCGTTCTATGCGTAATTGGACCATTCACCCATCGATAGTCTCAAGGCGAAGAGTGAGTGACCTAGAATATGAACTGCCATGGACGGGTCAGCTCCTGATACTACTAGGTTTACTCGTTGAGGAGACTGGCGGCACTACTGGATGGAGCCTTCATTCGTCCTCGTTGACCCCATTCAGGCGTAAAAGTACCCATGTTCCAAAACGCCGCTGCAGGCCACGGTATTGCCGTGTCACAGCGCTCCTCCGGAATAAACGGCAAGATCTATTGGCAGGAGGTGATCCAGAAAAACATACGGTGCAAGGGTGGACGGCTCGCTTAGTAGGCACCGCGGTGGTACCACCGCAAACTACTTGAAATAAGCTCGCATCGCCATGACTCCTGCGGCATGTAGCGCATCAAGGCTGGGGTAGGGCACGTTCCGACTAGACATCATACAGATGGTGGGACCCACCGACCCAGGACTGCAAGTTGAGACACTTGCCTTTAGCGACGAGATCGGCAGGTAAGTCTGAAACTCTGTCATTGCGCAGTTTAGCAACACGAGGTGGAACCGAGTTGACTGTTTACGACATAAGGGTAGATAGGGCGTTCAGCGGACATGACCCACAGATATCACCACCGGTAATGGCCACTAGTTTGTGGTAAGATAGTACTCTGCATGCCGAGACAATGACTGGGCAATGTGAGATCCTCAGGATCTTCAGCAGTCTGACAAAGCGAGAGACTTAGTTTCTTCCCTTATGGAAGGCGGACATACGATACTGATCGCCGGATCCAAGTCCTCGACGCCTAACCGGCGTGCAAAAGGCTCCGTTTGCTGCTTTAGTGCTGATAAGGATGGTCCGAATCGTCCGGGTTCGATGACGTTTTGGTTTTGAAGCTAACCCCAAGGAGGCGATACACTTGTATAGCGCGCTGGAGCGCCTCTCCTAGACCGCAAAAATACCGTTGATGGGATACAAAACTAAGAGGAGGGCAAATACATGAGTGCAAATTATAATAGCCGAGTACAGTGATGTGCAGGCGATGAACCGTCAAGGGGTCGAGAGACACAGTCATGGAAAACAACTAAAAGCATATTCGATAGCTCGCATAGCGTCCAGCCGTTTCACTTGGTCTTGTGATTTTGACGACCTGTCCTCGCTTGAGGCCATAGTATCGAGCAACTGGATCCGCCAGCTGGATACGCGGTAGCTGCGTTTCCTTCAGCCGGCTAAAGAGCACTTAGTCACGGATACACCACGTCCAAAGATCGGAACCCACTATCGTTCTAGCAAAATCCTTTTGTCTTCCGGAGAGAGTACCTCGTGCCGCGGTACTAGCGTATGGTGCGTGATATTCACGAGTAGGTCGGATTCGGAGAACTCCTCCAGCTTGAACTGTTGCGACATAGCAACAATGACCTAAATTTCGGGTAAGGATATGACACACCAACTACACGGAATACGTACTTTCCGAGCTGAGGGCGTCATGTTGCCTGGAAAAATGATAATGCCCCGCTGGATCGATTTCTCCTCCAGGATGCCGAGTAACCTAGGGACGTCGTCAGTCCGCGCAGCGTGCAACACTAGAAGCCGCCGCGTACTTGCGCATGGTCTTCACGCCGACGCTTTTCTCTTCTGAGAAGAAGACGAAAATTTGATCTTGTGGGTTATACGTATGGTTGGTGAAGAAATTTAGCTGGTTACGGCTAAGCACGGGCTCAAACAATAAGTGCTAGTCCATGAACTAGAGCAGATATTGAACTCACTCCACGCTGCCCCCGCTATTGGCATAATGGCTCCGGAACGTTGCAAGGTCCATGTGTATCTCCTCGTCGGACACTTGATACCCCTGCCCCAGATTCATATTGCGTAAGACACTTGAGGTTTGCGTGCGCGAGAGACGGAGACGCTGACCCTATCCTTGACGAGCTCGTGTATTGTCCGGTTGACCTTCCATAGTTTGGCGGATTCGTCCTGTTCAGCCATATTGCGAGTGGTAGCCTAACAAGAAGTTGTTTCAAACTCCGACATGTTGTGGCGGCGCGCCTTCCTGCGTGGATTGTCCGCCCTCTCCAGTCTATCTTGCAATGCCACCCAACAATGATGTTCAAGCGGGCCCGTCCCGTCCGAGTACACTATCGCTGACACCGGCGCTGATGGTGACTATGAGAATTCATTTAGTTGCTTGCTTCGATTGACCGAAGGCGCAGAGTAAGCTGAAGCCGGCAAAGATATTCAAAGGAGCCGTAGAGCAGGTGCCACCGCCTAGTCCCGGTAATTTCGCGTCGAGAAATGCAGCCATGCAGGGGCCCAGGCATATCACCGGCATATGTTTTGATGATAGAGGAGACCAGTTGATCACGGCGTCCGAGGACGAGACATTCCGTCTGTATAGCTGCAAAACTAGCAAGCGAGTCTCCTCCGCATATGTCTCGACATGCATTGCTCAACTTACTCCTTATCCGAACATAGGCATCTCAAGACTTTACAGTCGAAGAAGTATGGTGTCGACCTGCCTCGCTTCACTCACAAGAATACCGCAATTATCTATGCTTCCACAAAAGAGGACGACACCATCAGGTATCACTCTCTGCATGACAACAAGTATCTTCAGTACTTCAAGGGCCACACGCAGCGGGTCGTTAGTCTGGAGATGTCACCGGTGGACGATGGCTTCATATCCGCGTCGCTGGATAAGACAGTACGAGTGTGGGATCTGCGAACCCCGACATGCCGGGGCCTCCTGAACTTACCATCATCACCGATCGTTGCGTATGACAGCGAAGGTGTCATCTTTGCTGTCGCCGTGAACGACTTCCAGCGTATAATGCTTTACGACTCAGCCCACTTTGACAAGGCTCCGTTCCTTGCCATCACCCTTGATGACCCCACTCTGGCACAGATTAGCTATCCTCCTCGCGCCATCTTCATGAGCTCCATATCCTTCTCCATGAACGGGAAGTACCTCTTAGTGGGTTGCTCAGGCGACGCGCACTATATCATGGACTCCTTTGATGGGCACCTACTCGCAAAACTGGAAGGGCACGTAGGACTCGAACGGAGAAACCTGAACACACCGCCCGGCATCACGCCAGTGCGAGGCTGTAGTGGCGAAGAGGTATCCTGGACACCAGACAGCAAGTTTGTTGTTGGTGGCAGTCTTGACGGGAAGATATGTGTATGGGACGTCCAGAACTTACCCTCGAGATCCGGGCGTGTGGACTTGAAGGTTCCTCCTGCACGGTTGCAGCCGATAGCGGTTCTCGAAGGCCATCCAGGGCCGTCCCGATGTGTCAGGTTCAATCCTCGCCTTGCCATGATGTGCTCTGCGGGATCTGAACTGGTATGTTTTGGTTTCAGTGACGTCACGTTTGAGAAGTTGACGCCCTGTTGTCAGGCTTTCTGGTTACCGGATCCCGCTGGCGACGTGGAAGAAATTGCCAAGGACCTGTTGAGGAAAAGAGGGGCCGGTGCATGACCGTAACTGTGGATTTCTCCTACCTGTTGTATAACTCCTTGACAATCAGACTGTTTTACAAAGTAACATCGTTATACAGTGCATTCGAGGTGGGATGCTACTCTCCGCATGACCCAGCTGGGTGGATATTTACTCAGTCACCGCGCCTCGAGGCGCCGGATTGTCGTAAGTAAAATTTCTACGACGCAATGTGTGTCAGCGATATATCCTGAAGGCTCCGGTTATGTTTTATTGTTGTCGGTGATCAATACGCGGACAGCCAATTCCCTGGCGCCCGGGCTCCTGACGGATTAACGGGGGATGGCCGCGGGAGCCCCAGAATCTCTCTCTCTCGGGAGCCCCTTTGATCGATTCCCAACGGTCGGTGACGGCCTGGCGTCCAGATGGTTGTTGTTTGAATCCGGCTCATCACTTGCTGTTATCCTATACCCACATGGTTAGTCGTGAATACGCCGTATCCCGCCGAGTCGATACTGTCCTGCGCTCCGATGCAGTCGGACGACGTGCTAATGAGACGCGTCGCGGTCACGTGTCTTTTATTGCCCTGCCCTAAGCTCATCGGACGTGGCAAGGCACTCATTCGGCGAAGTGATCTCGTCATATCTCGGTACACTCACCTCTAGCTTCATAATATATACGGTGTATTTTCTGGTCTACGGGACGTTCTTTACTTGGCTGCAATATGCATCTCCGGAACATATTGAGGGGCGGGTTAGCGCTGGGGTTTCTGGCAGCGGTCTCTGCCTGTTAGTGAGATCTCTCTTGGCGAACAGGAGTCTGACGCTGACGAGCATGCCTGAATTGCACAGCACCGGTGGGGGACACTGAGGAGCCCGCTGTTCTCGCGGTTGCCGTCTTTCCCGAAGACAATCCATTCGGACGTGCGTCCGCACCCCTCGTAACTGCTAGCGCCCTCCATTGATTTGGGCTGTGCCTGACGAAAACAGACGTCGTCAATGGCGAGAGAAACAAGCTGGATGTATTCATTGAGAACACCTCTGATCGGAACGTGACACTCTTGAGCATCGCCGGCTCCGTGCACCACCCAGAGACGAATGCTCTGATCAAGAACGTAGGTTTGCCATTTTGAGGCACTCGTCCCATCTGCTTGCACTCGTACTCGGCTTACGACTGTGCAACAGACCAGCAGTCTTACATACGGGGTTAGGTTACTCGAGGGGACGAGGATTCAGTTGCCCTACACATTCTACAGCGAGTAAGCACACTTCTCGATTCTGGGTGCTTATTCAGTTCGCATCTGATGCGTCGGTTCAGATTCAAGGTGACTGGAAACATCAATCACGAAACGCGAGATCTACGGCTGACAGAAACCATTTCCTCGCACAGCCCGGCGATCTGAAGTTGAATATATGGTTGGAACACCTCGCCGACGTAAGCTAAGATCATAGACCATTCCTCGAGATCACAAAGCTGACAAAGTGCGTCAGGATAAAGTATACCGTGTCACGGCGTATGACTCGATCGTGACCGTCGTCGAGCCGGAATTGTCATGGTTTGACCTCAAGATGTGAGTAGCGTGAACCGCATGATCATTCGCTCATACTGATGGCCGTGTCAAAGGCTATCCACGTACGCGATGGTCGCGGGTATACTTGGCGCGGTGGGATATTTTGCTTACCAGACGTACGCTCCTGCGCCGAAGAAGGCGCGCAAGCCGCGAGGAGAGGCGATAAGTGCGCCGGTCGGTACGGTCACTGCCACTGGTGCGGGCGGGTACCAGGAGGAGTGGATCCCTGAGCACCATTTGAAGAAGTCGAAAAGCAGGAAGGGCGCGGCGAGCAGCGGGGATGAATTGAGCGGCGGAGAGACGAGTGGAACCGAGGGGAGGCGCAGGAAGGGGAAGAAGTGAGGTGTCCGTCCCGTGCGCGACGAAAACTGGGTCGTTCAGTAGTGACCTGCTATTTATCTTCATATTGCCAAAATGCTTGAATTGGCGGGAATGTCGCACATGTGTGAGCTACTTGCGACCATCCAATGTTGGGTTCTATCTACAATCACTTCCCTTAGGACGTGCCGCACTGGACACTGATGTGTAGGACGCTGTGTAGGACGTTCTGTCTTCCAGTTGCAATCGACCTCGACCGCCGTTATCCACCGCAATAGCGGGGCTTTTGGTTATTAATCCTGGTGTTGCCGCTCCACTGCCGAGGCACGACAAAGACAAGGGACTATCACTATCATATGTCGATCATCTTATAGCCCTTGACCTACGCAGGATCGAGACTAAGATTCGACGTGAGCCGGAGACACGACAAGCACTCACCCTGTTCTCTTTCAGCATGTTCGCGTACTTGTCCGCCAGCCATTTGCAGTTCTCCAGGTGGTTAACACCTTCGCCCCTCTGGCACTTCTTGAGCTCATCGCGGACGATGCGAGCTTCCATGGCGCGCACCCATGACTCGCGCAGATGGTCGTCCCGAGCTTTGAGACGAGCTGGCAGCGTCGTCAGATGCGTTCCAGACAGCGTGAAACAACATGGCGGCGTCACCTTGCAGCTCCTCGCGTTGCGCCTCGTCAATGGCCATTGCGGTTGGAAAATGTGTTGACCGTTGTTTGCCGCTCCCTCATGCGCGGGCACCGCCACCCGCGAACCTCAGCGCTCGTCCGGTTTCTCCGAACTTGTTTATCATTGACGATTGCAATAAATGCGGTTTTGACATGTTCCACTTTGTGGCCAGCCTTTCTGTATTGACGTTGGGCCTGCCCCTGACGTTATCCGCTGAGGGGGGCGTCATTAACTGTTTGATATCGAGCATATATTCCTCAGTTTCGAAGGGTATGATAACCGAAATGGCTGGTGAGCTGCCCAGATGAACGTCTTATCGTCGGTTCGTCGGCCCCCTGCCCTATCACTTGCTGCAAGTGACCAAGACGCTGCATCCGAAAGCAGACCAAATTTAACTGATCTCTGTGGAGAGCTCTTATCCTCTTATCGGTCTGGGCGGAGCGTTCTTCGCATGTACATCATCCTTCTGAACTTCCGATGACCTATGTTGAATCCGACCGTGTTCGCAGTGCAGCTACTTTTACCACCCATGGAAGGTCAGACTCGCCCTCTCAGAAATGATGCCTGACCGGAGTTCTTTTGGAGAGGGACGTCGTAACGTTATCACAGACCTGCTCAAGGAACGGGAGTCATTAGTGCTCCAGCACTGCATCCACCCTTATCATTGAAGGATCTGGATTTGCCAGACTAAACATATTCCACGGTGCCTAGATATGCTTCTGCGATGCCGCGCACATGAGCAGGTTATAATGAGCCTGCTTCGTACCTGGAGGCCTTCGTCTCCTCCGACCCGTGAAAGCTTGTCCTTGGCTCGCTATGGCTCTCGCAGACGACATCCCCACTCTCAACCGCAGATCCCATGCGCAGGAAGGGGATTCTTTCGATGAGAAGAAATCGTCTCAAGCCTCGGTCGTGAAGGACGTGAAGGACGCGTACAGCGACCTCGAGAAGACGGAGGTACTAGAAATACCGCCGGAGGAGACGGAGGCTGTCGTCCATGACGCCGCCGACATCGCTACTCAAGTGAGGACGGCCCGTGATATGTTACGGTCGCTGCACTGACAAGCTCATCTCTCAGATCCTGCATACGGATGATGATCCTACGCTCCCCGCCATGACCTTCAGGTTCTGGTTTGTGAGTAGATAGCTGTTCCTCGTACCTTGTACCCCTCAGTTGAACCTCTTCCAGTTGGGTTTGGGTCTCGCAACATTCGGTAAGTACATGGACGTCCGTGCCGGTTGGTTGCACTAATTCGCGGCAAAGGCTCTGTCTTGTCCGAGATCTACTGGTGGAAGCCTCAGAACGCAACTGTATCTGCACTCTTCCAGCTGATCATCTCGTATGTCCTGGGACGCGCCATGGCTCGTAAGTAGTTAGAAAGCGACCGTCTATTTGCCTTCGGTAGCTTTGACACACGCCCCCAGAATTTATACCGACCAAGGGCTGGTTCCGTTACCTGAACCCAGGCCCATTCAACATCAAGGAGCATGCTTGCATCGTCATCTTCTCCTCCACAGCATCGACTACGGCGGACGCCATCAGCATCATCTCCACGCTAGACCTCTTCTACGGCGTAAAGCTTCACCCTGCTGTGGCCATCTTCCAGACATTGTCCAGTCAACTGCTGGTACGTCCCACGCATATCGACATCAGATTCCAGTTTGTCGGCTGACCGGCTGACTTCGCCAGGGTTATGGTTTCGCGGGGATCTTGCGAGTGCTGCTAGTCTGTGAGTATATACTGGCTTTTGCTCCGTTCAGGGACGGATATAATGTCGTTGCACAGTCCCCACGTACGCGCTGTACCCTGCCACGGTGCCCCAGGTCAATCTGTGTAAGTGGCTTTCTTCGAGAATGGCCAGATGATTGTATACGACGAACCTCTTCGTAGTGCAAAGTATGCACACTGGTAACTATCTCAGCAAGAAGAAGATGCGTTTCTTCTGGATCGTATTCACCGCCATCTTCTGCTGGGAGATCATACCGTGAGTCCGTTTGAGTAATTTCACGCGATAAAGTTCTCAAGTAAGATCGACAGCACCTGGATGTTCCGTAAGCATTACTGCGTTGTTGTTAGCTTTGGGGCTTCTCAACAACAGGCGTTGCAGCTCTACTGACGGCATTCAGCATCGTGTGCCTCGCGGATCATGGGAAGCATGACTTCGTCAGGTATGTGGAGAGCCTGCGTGTCTCTGGACTTGCATAATCAGAACACTTCAGAAACTTTTTCGGTGGCGGCTCCTCCAACGAGGGGATCGGGTTCTTCTCTTTCGGATTTGACTGGTAGCCAAAATTCTGTATCTCTTCCCAATACCGAAGATTGATCCGTGGCTTCAGGACGCTCATCAGCCAAGGAAATCCGCTCTATTGGCCGCTCCAAACACGTATGGGAATTCTCCCCCAAATAATTCGTCTAAACGTATCATTTTTTCAGAGATATCTGCCTATCTTGGCATGTTTGGAGGTTACATTCTTCTGACTAGTGCATACGTGAGTACCCCCGTGCCTCTTTCATTCCTCTGTTACTGATGTACCCCAAGTACTCCGACCTTTGGAGCGGCAAGGTGAGGGCTACCGCAATAGTTTTTGCGAGGTTGTCCATTAACAAGTAATCATATAGTCCCTTGGACTCCCCTGGATGTCACAGTCGCTCTTCTACGCCAACGGCACGACTTACGACCAAACGACGATTCTTAATGACAAGCAAGAGTTCGACCCGGAGAAGTATGCTCAGGTTGGCCAGCCATGGTAAATAAGTCAGCAACACAAATTGCGTCGACCTGACCTTAGTTCCGTAACAGGCTAACTACGACATATGGTCTCTCGCTGCTGTGCTACAACTTGGCGGTCGGAGCAAGCTTCTCTCACGTGCTGGTTTGGCATTGGAAGGAACTCAAGGTTTGGAGCTGTTTGCCACGTCGCTTGGCGAAGTGGCTTATGACTTTGAATTGTAGGCAGCGTTCTCTGGTTTCAAGTTCCTCAGGAATGTCAGGGATGTTGATGATCCTCGTACGTGGGCCATCGATGTATCCTAGAATCATATTCTCACACCATTCCCTGCAGATTTTGCGAGTATGTTGCGTCTTGCACTAGTGCTCACCCAGTCCTGATCGAGAACAGAGATGAAGGTTTATCCGGAAGTACCGCAATTGTGGTATATCTCGATCCTGCTTGGCTCATTCGCAGTCGGGTGTGGTACTTTGTATACTCACACCAACTACCTGCCCGGGTGGTCCATGCTCGTCTTCGTGATTATCTGTACGTGTTGCCCCCCCCCTTCCAAACCTACTGGCAGAGATTAACCCCAGCATAGCTTTCGTCATCACGACGTTCTTGGGCTTTGTCACTGCTGTGACGTGGGTCCGTTCATACCTTGAATTCGAAGTGTCTCATCTTTGTCGCAGGGGCTTCTCGCAACCGACGCAAGGTTTGGTCCAATTGATCGCTGCCTACGTGCATCCAGGCAAACCTGTCGCAAACATGTACGCCAAGCTGTATGGGTATAGCACAGGGTACGCAGCGCGTTTATGCAGGGGTTCTCGCGCTGATGCGGTATATAAAAGGTACCAAGCACTTTACCTCTTGCAAGATCTTAAGCTCGGCCAGGTGAGTATTACTTGGCGCTTGACGTATGATTAGTTTCACTTATGCCTTGCAACTAGTATTGTAAAGTGAGTACACGTTTCACCACGCTTGATAGTCCCGACGTCTGACAATGCTCCACCTCCAGATCCCTCCTCGGGCTACTTTCACGGCCCAAATTGCTGGCACTGTCGTTGGCTCCATAATGAACTACGTCCTCATGAAGAGCATCATCAGTGCGCATAGAGCGGAATTAGTGGATCCCATAGGCACACGTCTCTGGTCGGGGTGGCATGCCCAGTCTTTCAACACCCAGGCGATCACCTGGGGGGCTCTGGCGAAGCAGATGTATTCCCCTCACTCGACGTACTTCTGGATCCCGATGGCCATCTTGATTGGCTTCCTTACTCCCTTCGTCTTCTTTGGCCTCCATAAAGTCTTTGGCAAGAAGTATGTGACACTCACATGCTTCTCACGAGCGGACTAACGGTATGTGCAGGACGGGCTTCTTTAAGTACATTATCATTCCCGTTGTGGCGAAGTGAGTTCAGCGTCCTACGCAATTGCTCATTGGCTGAGGCCTGTTTCCAGCTACCTGGGTTATCTTCCCTATTCCGTGAACGGCCAATGGTGGACGTGCTATGTCATTGGCATCGCCTCGCAGTGGTGTGTAGCATCAATGCTTTTCATGTTTGGCTCATATCCATCTTCTCGTTTCAGGTGGGCACGTACGCGGAGACCTCGTTGGTTCAAGAAGTGAGTTTGCTTGGCCTTTCCACGTTTCTCGATGCTGAATCAAGCGCGTAGATATAACTACCTCATGAGCGCTGCTCTGGTGAGTCTTCATATTCCTGACTTCATGCAAGGTTACCCAACAACACGCTGGGACGTAGGACGGAGGTAGCCAGGTGCGCATTTTCCTGTGTTCCTTATAATGTGTTTTATCTTGACAATGATCTTCGTAGATTATTTTCTTCATCTTGAACTTTGCAGTGTTCGGCGCTAGCGGGAGCGGGGTGGATTTTCCCAGCTGGGTACGTACCTGGTTTTACTCTTCAGCTGCGCTCTGAATAAAATGTCCATCATCATCTAGTGGGGTAACCCGTCCGCCTCTAGGTATGTCTTGATGCCTGACGTAAAGAGGATGTGTTCTCATTTTTCTTCTTATAGTGGATTGTCCGTTGATAGATGCAAGGCGACGGTCGGATGAGTGAACCTGCAGCTGGCTCGTCCAATGGTTGTATATATCGTTCTACTCGTGTACAACCCGTGTAATTTTCATCAAATGGAGCTCTTGGTCAGGTGTGGCAATGTTGCGTTGTGCCGTTGGTCAATGGTACTGTGTATTTCACTTGGGAGCACAAAAGGTATTTACCATATTCAATGCACTAAGGGAGAATCGAACTCGCGGCCAGTCGAATCCGAAAGCCGTTGAACTGGTGGCAACGACTGAGGTTACCACTACCCCATTAGTGCGTGGGATGTGGGTTACATGTTATGGTGCGGGACACCTAGTCACCGCTACTTTTGGACAGTGGCAAAATCGGTGCTGGAGAAAAATTTTAATTCTGAGGTCACGAAAACGAGGACTTCGCAGTGGGCAGAGCTATTTAATGGTACTCAGTAGCTATATAAGGACTCACAGTGTTATACACAAGTAGGTAGCCAAGGATTTCTCGACCTTGCATAGTGATTACATAATAAGCGCCTATCTATATCGGGTAATTTGGCAAAATAGATTTGGGCCAATATTATAACTCCTTCAATTTTAAGTATTTCGACAATCTGTCTTGAGAAGCTGATTCTTTCATCAAATGCAGTGTTTTCCCAAGATGGATAAGAAAATGAGGGAAAATTGGACCCTCCATAACTGTTGTACCAAAGTAGTGGTGACTAGGTGTCCCGCACCATAGTATCACATACTACCTTTAATCATCGGTCATATTCACATGTTTCCGCCTTCCCCGGATCGTCATGCGGTCTCACCCCGAGCCTGAAGACAGTCATCGAGGAATGCTCTCATTATAAGATCTGCATGCTGGACTGCCGCATCGGTATCAACCTGATCAATTGCCCCCTCTCGCCATCATGTCTTATCCCCTACAATTACCGGTTGGCGGCGAGCCGCTCTTGACCTTAACCCACCGTTCGTACGCGAGGAATGCTTTCATCTAAAACGCGCCTTACTCAGACGACTCGTTCTATACAGCTACGTCTTCCATCTGGATTCTAGAATTGCATAATGGGGACGACAGCCGGCTCACGCAGCTTCTGGTGGAGAAGGGGCTGAAGCCTGCACTGGACGCAGTGGAGAGACACTGGAGGGATGACAGACGGAAGGCCGTAGCAGCCAAAGACAAGGAAGGCGGGAAGGGTGCTCTGATCATTGTGGGGAACACTAAACAGGACAAGTTCTTCAGCAACGGTGAGCGAATAAGAATTCTCTATATTGGACTACATGTCTGATTGTTGTACGACCCAGGGCTTGATTTCGCCCGCATCGTGGGTGACCCGAACTTCTTTCCACGTAAGCTCACGGTGTTTGCTGCTACGTACAGTCGGGTACTGACCGGCGATTTATAGAAATATTCAATCCCTTCTTGAAACGACTGCTCCTATTTCCCAGTATGCGTAGGGTCTGCTACTCCGTTGACGTGCTTCTGACGGTCGTTAGTCCCTACAATCGCTGCCATTAACGGGCACTGCTTCGCCGGCGGAATGATGCTCAGTCTGGCCTGTGACTACCGTGTCATGACGGATGGTAGCAAACGAAATGCATGGATGTGCATGAACGAGGTGAGCGTGCTACCTTTGCTGGATAACACTCCTACTGACAATGAATATCACACCTTGAATACAGGTGCACTTCGGTTCGCCCTGGCCATTCTCCTTCGCAGCCGTCTTACGAGCCAAGTTCGGAGATGTGCGGCTGCAGCGCAACATTGCACTGGAAGGCCATAGGTTTACTCCGCAGGAGGCGCGAGACGCTGGACTGGTTGATTATCTTGTTAGCGGCAACACCGCAGATGTCCTCAAGGCAGCTCAGGAAGTCGGTGAGCGGGTGGGTGCCCTCGCGAAAGGCGGCGTCTGGGGCTTGATCAAGGTGGGTACTAGAGTAGCCTATTCATGCCTTATTCACATATGCTATCCGACCTTGCAGGCGGACCTGTACAGGGATGCCACTGAGAACATCGACCGCGACCTGAGACCTCTGAACGTGGAAGTCGATGATGCTGCGGCTAAGGCGCGACTATGATTAGCTGATATATTCTTTCTTGGGGTATTTATGTACTGGTTGTTCCTAACATAGCGTGTTCTCATCCATCATGCTCGGTCAGAGATTGATGCGCGGCTTGTAAGGGCTTGCCATTCGAGTCAATCAGATGCAAGCCTGATGCACCTCTCTTCCCATTCCCTCCGCCTTACGTTGACCAATTGAAGGCCACCTGCGAGGAATGCACCACGGACTGTAGTTAGATGTGATCCCGTGCTGCCGGATGTGATCGTTGGCAGCGCACGGTCGCCACGACGCCAAGTGAGGAACCGCTTAAACGAAAGACTTGCCACAGTACCCTGCGCTCAAGTGCCCAAACTACTGACCTTTGTGAAAGCAAATCCATCAGCGTATGAGTAGACTGTCTGTTTTTTGTGTCTTTCTCTACGAATTATGCCACAACCTGCGGCTTGAATAGCTAGCGCTGAAGCGACAATGGGGGCACACGTGGGTCCATTACTTAGGCCGTTGCCACCTACGGCTTATTTGGAAGCCATACTTGGCAACAAGGAAGTCTATGCATTGGCCGCTTGCCGGCTTCCGCAGCAGATGTATAAAAGCAAGATCAGTCTGCGTTCCATGGTCCATCTTCCCCTTGCTTTCCGCTAGTTTCTCTCGAGGCCGGGTCCTTGATTTTCTTTCTTTTTACCTTTTCTTCCATTCATTCTCCGGTCCCCTTTGTTGGCTTGAAGCGTTAGGTATTCAGACAGTAAACATCAAGTGCAGGCACCATGCAGCTCGGACTCTCGTTTTCTCTGCTTCTGGCAAGCTTACTCGTCGCGTTGTCGTCTTCCCAAGTCGACGCGCACCCGGTGAAGCGGAATGCGGGACTGGTCACGCTACCCCTCAAGCGTGTGCACCAGGCTCGGGGTGATGTACACCCTCAAATGGTGGGTATTATGCAATGGGTTTAGGAGGATACAGCCTTACGGTAATGGTCTGTCTAGCTCTTGCAGCAGCACATGAACCGCGGTCACCGCCGTCTGGCGCGTATGACCGGACGAATCGCCCCTAATGACACCGAACTCGAGGCGAACCTCCGCAAGAGGATGTACCTGCTCCCGTACGGCCCTGGCTCTAAGAGGCCCACGAAGCGCTACGACCGAAGCGGTGTTGCTTCCGCCAAGGCCAAGATGGTCAAGTCGACTGCGAAGACAAACAGCGCCGTGGCGGATTCCAACGAGGCGTTCTCCATCGACGACCTCATCGGGTTGCTCACTGGCAATGGCAACAATGCCCAGGCAGCTGGTAAGCAACAGGCGAAGGGCAATGCCAAGGGGAGCAATGGCAAGGGCAAAGGGTGAGTTTGCCTGCACGTCCGTATGGATTCCGCGTTGAGATTTGTCCCGCAGAGCTGCTGCTGGTAATGGCAACGCTACTGCATCTGGCTCTGCTGCCGCTGCCTCCTCGAGCGCAGGTGCTGGCTTCAGCGAGGTTGATCTCCAGGCTCTTGAGAACGGTGGTCTGACGGCCGCAGGCGCGCCCACTGCCGACAACTCCCTTGGCCTCGACATTGAGGCCAACGATGTCGGATACATCGCGACCGTCCAGATGGGCACCCCGCCTAGGGACTTCAAGCTCCTAATGGACTCTGGTTCTGCCGACCTTTGGGTGGGATCGGAGCAGTGCCAGTCGACGGCTGGTGGTGGATGCGTACGTTCGTCGAATGTCTACCTCTCGTCAATAGCTCATGCTTCGTTTCTTAGGGCAATCACACTTTCCTCGGGTCGCAGAGTTCCTCTTCTTTCAAGGACACTGGGAACCCCTTCCAGGTCACCTACGGAAGCGGTGCTGTTGCCGGTAATATCGTCACTGATAATATCAATGTTGCTGGCCTTGCGTTGAATGCGCACACCTTCGGTGTTGCTACGCAAGAGACCCAGGATTTCTCCAGCGACCAGGTTCCCTTCGACGGTCTCATGGGCTTGGCTCAGTCGGTAAGTTCAAGTCCCTCGAACCCTCGAGCGCGTGCTGATCTAGCCACGCGTAGACCCTGTCTGAGCAGAAGACGCTCACTCCCGTCGAGTCCCTGGCTAAGGCGGGTCTCATCAACGACGCTATTACTTCCTACAAGATCTCCCGTCTCGCTGACCAGAAGAACGACGGTGAGATCACCTTCGGTGGCATCGACGAGACCAAAATCGACGCCAGCACCCTGACTACTTTCGACAATGTCAACACCCAGGGCTTCTGGGAAGGTGCCATGGACTCGATCACCGCTGATGGCAAGGACCTCGGACTGACTGGCCGCACTGCTATCCTCGACACCGGCACCACTCTGATCATCGCTCCCCCTCAGGATGCCACCGCCGTCCACCAAGCCATCCCTGGTGCCAAGTCTGACGGCCAAGGTGGTTTTACCATCCCGTGCACGACCACCACCAGCCTTGCTCTGTCCTTCGGCGGAACCTCCTTCGCGATCGACCCCCGTGACTTGGCCTTCCAGCCTCTCGACCCCAATGACTTGACCGGCGACTGCGTCTCTGGTATTTCATCCGGACAGATCGGCGCCGCTACGGAATGGCTGGTAAGTAATTGTGTTATCGCCATTGGCGGTCAAACTCATGATACTGATCGTTTCGATATAGGTTGGAGATGTGTTCCTCAAGAACGCCTACTTCTCGACTGACGTGACGAAGAACCAGATCTCGCTGGCTAAGCTTGCTTAGGCTAGCCCTCGCTCTCTTTTGCTGGTTGCGTTGTAGTCCCGCTGCTCTCATCTACGTTCGCTTGATAGTGTTGTACGCTTTACTGTTTCGTTGTCTAGTTAGCTTTCGCTTATCTCAGTCACTGGCCGGAAGGGAATCGGATCTGAAATGCTGGACATAGTCTCTTCAAGATAATGCTGAAGCAATGAAGCACGGTTGCTATAGATGTTAAGCTTTCTCTGTCGCCGGCTGTTGTACGTTTTTCTTAGCAGCAGACCAGAACGTTCCTAGTCGCAATTCACAAGGGAAATATGAGTGGAGGCACCAGATTTGCTTACATCAGTGTGATGATCGGCCGAAGAGCGCCGGAAAGTGCCGAGGATAATCCATTAATTACAGCATACAAAAGTAGCCATGACTCGAATCCACTCCCTAAGTTTTATACCTCGACCTCCTCCTCGATCCCCCCATCCCTTCGTTCCCCCACCTGCTCCCCCAAAATGTGCCCCTGTCAAAACGGTGACAATGTTGCGACCGACCGTAACGAGATGGTCTCGGTCGACCTGTCTAACAAGCCCAAGGTCAATGGCGTTAACGGTGTGAACGGACACACGAACGGTGTCAATGGTTCTACTGCACCTCAACAACGGCGAAACCCCTACGCACCCCGTGCTTCCGACTTTCTGAACAACGTCTCCAACTTCAAAATCATCGAGTCCACTCTACGAGGTGCGCGGGACTTCATATTCTCTCGTTTAGTGACGTCACTGATTAGGTGGGATGATTGCTTATGGACAGAGGGCGAGCAGTTCGCCAACGCTTTCTTCGACACCAAGACCAAAATCGCCATCGCCAAGGCGCTCGATGCGTTCGGCGTCGAATACCTCGAGCTCACGTCCCCCGCCGCCTCGGAACAGTCCCGCGCGGACTGCGAAGCCATCTGCAAGCTCGGGTTAAAGGCCAAGGTCCTCACGCACATCCGGTGTCACATGGACGATGCTCGTATCGCTGTAGAAACTGGTGTGGACGGCGTGGACGTCGTTATTGGCACCTCGTCGTTCCTCCGCGAATTCTCGCACGGCAAGGACATGGCCTATATCACCAAGACCGCCATCGAGGTCATCAACTTTGTCAAGAGCAAGGGCATCGAGGTCCGGTTCTCCACGGAAGATTCCTTCCGTTCCGACCTCGTCGACCTCCTGTCGATATACCAGACCGTAGATAAGATCGGCGTCAACCGGGTTGGTATTGCTGACACCGTTGGCTGTGCAAACCCCAGACAAGTGTATGAGCTCGTCCGCACACTGCGTGGTGTTGTCGGCTGCGACATCGAGGTCCACCTTCACAACGATACTGGCATGGGTAAGATGTCATGCCCCTTCACCCGTAGACTCTAATCTAAGATCGCGGTCCAGCCATCGCGAACGCATACTGTGCTCTCGAAGCTGGTGCTACCCACATCGATACCTGTGAGTTAGCCTTACCGTGGCTTCCTCTTCTCAGAACATTGATATATCTTGCTCAGCCGTTTTGGGTATCGGTGAACGCGTCGGTATCACCCCTCTTGGTGGGCTCGTTGCTTGCCTCTACGCCGCAAACCCTGAATACGTCAAGTCCAAGTACAACCTCCCTATGCTCCGTGAGATCGAGAACTTGGTCGCTGAGGCCGTCGAGGTCAACGTTCCTTTCATGAACCCTATCACGTGAGTACTGGTTGCTCCCGTAATGCTGAGAGTTGCTCATGCATTTGATCGATCAATAGTGGTTACTGTGCATTCACGCACAAGGCTGGCATCCACGCCAAGGCTATCCTCAACAACCCGAGCACATACGAGATCTTGAAGCCCGAGGACTTCGGTCTCACGCGTTACGTTTCCATTGGGTGGGTTAGGGTTATGTCTGCGGATATACTAGTTATTAATCCGAATGTGTCCCATAGCCATCGGTTGACTGGTTGGAATGCTGTCAAGTCCCGTGTTGAGCAGCTTGGATTGAAGCTCACCGATGAGCAGGTACGTTCCGAGCGAACTTCAGGTTATGGGCGAGTTGATCGACCGTCTTCCCCACAGATCAAGGATGCCACTGCCAAAATCAAGGAGCTTGCTGACGTCCGCACACAATCAATGGACGACGTCGACTCGTTACTCCGAATTTACCACTCAGGCATCCAGTCAGGAGAGCTCGAGGTTGGCCAGCGTGAGGCTCTTGACCGGCTATTGAAGAAGCACCGGGAAGAGAGCCGCGCTGAGACGGAGGTGGCTGCATGGGTGTGATATTGAGGACGGGACCTGTTAGTCGAAAATTATCCCTTGCGGGACATCCTGTATCATTATGTGTAATTTTGGTTGCTGTACTGAAGGGTAGAAGCTAGATGAATTGTTTACGAAAGTTGCATCGGAGAGCAGTTCCAGCCTGCTCAATATTGCGGACGTACTGACGCGTGCTGGCAATCCTTGTCTATACATTCTGCACTGTGTAATCTCTGGTTCACCGGTGGTTATCAGGATGCCACATCGGAGGATGCCACGCGGGAGGAGAGATCCAGTCTCCGCGGCGTTCTTTGCAAGTTCAAGCTCAAGACGGGAGGGTCAGTTCTGTGAGTCTTGCAGCCTCCCTAGCTCCATCGAACCCATGCTCGAGCTGAATCTCCACGCTGTCAGCATAGCATTTTGAGTGTACTTAGTAGGGGCAGCCTGGCATCTATGCGTCTGGCTGATCCAAGTCCGGTAGGGTGAGCAATAGGCATGTCTGGTACCATGGCCATCTGCCATACGAATATGCTGTTCGTACGCATGTGATACTGAAATTCAAGGTACCAGGGAGCAAGCCTGCACCACAGTTCGGAGTGCTCTCGCGAGACCGCCACCGGTCTGAGGTCTCCTCTCCCCGGCGCGTTTCCTGCCGCTATTCTGCTCAGGACCGGGCGCCGTAACCCGGTAAATGAAGGCGGCCACTGATCGATGTTCTGAGGTTGGAACGGCCTGGGCTTGTAGGATCCGACGGACGCAGTTCAGGACTGAGGACATCAGGCAACGGCCCTGGCAATCCAGGGCGAGGATCATCCTCAGGCTGCATGCCATGAACGATGCATGACCGATCCTCTTCTTTTGGATAGTTTATGCAGGGACTGCTCTTCCTCAAGATATCAAGTGTTCACACATGTGATCTATTGTATGGCCTCGCAAACCCCGTGAGGAAAAGCAGGTACACAAGGTCCCTCTTTAGGCGACCGTACATCTACTGCAGGGAAGATATAGGAAGAACTAAGGGATACAGATGTTCCGAGCAAAATATGCAAAATGTAATAGTACGATACAGAGGTGCCGGATATGATAGTGAATGCGCATACATTATGTACAGGCTCAAGACTGCGATAATAAAGTAGATGGAGCGGCAGGTTCGACTGTCCGGATTGTCGTCGTAGCCTATGGGTTTATGAAATGCCAAGTTCTCGGAACATATGGTCGAGCGTCTTGAATGCAACGGGCTTAACAAGGCTGATTTAGATAATGTCAATGACAATCCAGCAAGGATAAATGAGGCCACATACTATCCATCAACACCAGCCTCGAAAGCCCTGCGCTTGTCTTCCAGAGACGACATACCCGTTAAAGCTAGGATCCGCGCTGGGCGGAAATCCTGCGGGTTAGGTAATGCACTTCTGCGTCCAGCTTCGATTTTTCGCATTTCAGCTGTTGCACCAATGCCTGAGGTAGGATTAGCTAATGCGCGTCGTGCAGTAGCCAATGAAACATACCATCCAGCACTGGCATTGATAAATCTAAAAGAACCACACTGCGCAACAACACATGTCATTTATTGCATAAACTGAGACTGCGGGAGACGTACTCAAAATGACCTTCAGACTCGAAGACTCGAACGCCGTCTCGACCATCGACAGCATCCTTGAATTCGTAGCCCTAAAATGAATGTAAGCCAGTCTCACGTACATTGAATGTCGCTCAGCTTTACCTTAGTCTTTAACCACTTCAGTCTGAGAAGTCTAATTTAGCTAGAAGCTCACACGGATAACAACCGGAGCTTACAGGAGGTTTCGAAGAATACTATTGTCTTCAACCACAAGGACTCGCAGTTTATCAGCAGCAGCTACTGTCCCAACAGAAGATTTCAATAGGGTGCCGCAGCCGCCTATGGGGATAGTAGGAATCGATGTCTCTTGCCCTTCGTCGTGGCTTCCATGCGCTGAATGCGCCGAAAGTGGACTGCGAACACTGGGTTCCGCCATTTCAAGTTCCTCAGCCATGGGGGTGCCTGACATCCGTACTGTCGCGAGAGGATGAACGGTGGCAGCTCGATTGCCAAGTGGAGGCCTGGGCAAAGTGTTAGACCGCCTGCGAGCTTCTTCCGAATTTCGTCGCGGCAGCGTGCTATACGGGGATGTTGGACCAAGTAGGGCATCTTGGTTCGCTTGATCAAAACTTGACCTGAGGTCCTGGTCATCACCGTCCCTGGGTTGCCGGACAATCTTGAGAGCGCGGATGCACAGCTTGAGAGCGAGACGAAGCCGTGAAGGGCCGCCTGGCTTGTAGATTAGACGACAGAAGCCGCCCACCTGCTCATAATGGCTGACTATTGCCATGAGCTGGGGATCACCTCGGTGGGACGAAAGGATAATGAATGCCCGACTGATATCCCTCCGCCTGGTGGCTGAGATAATGGGAGCGAGGTCTTCATTCGTAATAACGAGGTCGGAATGCTCTATGTCGTCATCCTGGACTTCGAATCCCCACCACGTAACGAGGTACGTTGACAAAACACTGCGCAAGAGTTGTGTGCCTCTATGGGAGCTGCCAAACCCTACCAAGGAGATCTTGCGTTGAGCTTCCTTGTCGCCAGAGATAGGGAAGTCCGGATCTTGAAGAGGGTCCGACCCATCGTCCTCCGCAACTTCAGTCGTGAAAGTGATCTTAATTTCTGTTCCGACTCCTTCCGCGCTCCATACGTCGATGTTGCCATTGAAGCTCGGTGATCGAACTATGCTGTTAACTATTGCTAGGCCCAACCCAGTGCCAGTCTGAAGAGGATTTTCTTGAGAGAATGGGTGAAATAGTTGATTCTGGAGGGAACGTGAATATCCGGTAGGAATATACGCATTCTGGATGAGATACCTTCAAGAAATTCTGACTGATCCCCTAAAGAACAGTAAGTCATCTTGACAAGTCAGCGGCGAGCCCGAAACCCTACCTTTCCTGTGTCAGAGACGGAGAGCTCAATCTTCACTTCCTTTTCCGACACTTGTGAGACTTGACGGAGGACCACATGGACAAAACCATCCTTAACGCATGGTCAGTATAGGTTGTATGAATCAGCGGAATCTCGCATACAGTCGTAAACTTGAGACTGTTCCCGAAGATATTCATCAGCACGCGACGAAGGCCCCCCTTCTCGCATTTAAGGATCCAACCCTAATTCGGGGTTCAGCGGACCACGATTTAGCGAGTCCATTGCGACACTCACAGATGGGCGCTTGCCGATGTCTACAACCGTCTCAACATGTGGATTCACAGGTGGAACGTTTCCAGGAGTGATCTGCCCATCATCGAGCTTCGGAGGTGAATAGACGCTGCCAATCTCGGACTCGGCCAACGACGCCATTCTGGCCTTGTAACCTATCCAGCATCCCTCGACAGCCTCTTCCACTAATGTCATGACATTTACCCTTTTCGCAACAATTAAGAAAAGTTGGTTTAAGGATATGCGAAGACTCACTTGGTCGGTGGTATGACGTTCTCGACGCCACCAGCTTTCGAATTCCCACTTAGCTTGGTGAAGTCCAGAACATGGTTCACGGTTTCGACGAGAGAAGTGCCGCACGCCCGGACAGTCTGCAAGAACGACACTTGGCTATGGTTGAGAGGGGAATCAGCCAGCAACTCAGCCGCTGCCAAGATCTACATCACATCAGTAAGGACGCAAGTGGGTACCAACGGGACATACACCATGTAATGGCGTCCGTAACTCGTGAGAGATGCTGACGATGTGTTAGATGGTCAAACAGAGCACGACAAGCTACATACGTACTTCGAGATGAATAAGCTTTTAGCTTTATCCGCTAAAATCATCCTTCGCTTTAGCACAGCGGATAGGATAATAACACCTATAGGGATATCTTTGCTCGTAACAAGTATTGTGGCTGATATAGAGTGAACTCTTACCGATTGCCCTCAGGTACGAAAGTTCATGACCCTCCAACTGAGGCGACTTCAGTGCCACCCATGAAATGACATCAGCGGTACTTACATAGCGCCTTCTGGGTTCGGAAGTCGTGTAAGCGCATAGTAAGGCGAAAGGCCTTTTATCAATGTTGAAGATGGGAACAGCTGACAAGGTACATGAGGAAAACGACCTTCAAGCAACCTAATAATCTTACTGAGAGCATATTGTATGCGCGTGGCTAGGAAGGTACGCAGTGGAGGTGGCACTACGCCATCGGAGATTTTACCATCTGGATACTTGCTGAAGAATTCCGACAATTGCGCGTATTCCGGGGCTGACAGCTGGTGATGGACGGCGCCCGAATGGGAGTCCGCACTGTACGTGACCACGGATATAGAAGCTTCTGCACTCATTGTCTCCAATACCTCGCAGTGCGACACGTCCATCACCGTCGCATACTCCACATCCAATGTGCGCTTGACCAATTTAGCTGCGCGGTCATAGATCTTCTCCATGGACTGTGAACCAAATAGACTATTCGGAGACTCTTTGCTGCCTTCTGTATCAATTTCCAGGCATTCTCGAGTGAATTGCTCCATCTACATTGTACATGAGCAAGGAAAGGATTCTCATATCTGGGGCTGCAACCCACCGAATTCTGGATACGATCCCGAATCCTTAGTTGAATTTTGTCTCTCCACAGCTCCATCTCTCGCATTGCAATAGCCTACCGAAAAGGTCTGTCGATGTCCATAGGCAAAATACAAGTTTGTACTCACGGCGAACTCCTTTAATGTATGCCTTTGCCGTGGGCTGAAGTCTCTATGGGGGACGTCATCCACAAGACTTAATCTGAAACCATCAAGTCAGCACGGGAGATATTGGATCACAATAAACCAGTCTAGCTGATGGGCTTACGTTCCGACATTATATCCGTCTTGCGTCCGTAGAGGTGCCCCCGCATAGAATCGTGCGTAGGGTTGTCCAGTGACCAAAGGCTAGAAACGGACATTAATTGTGAGGCCTATAGGATATAAGTAGTGGTCACGTTTTGGGAGAATCTCCAATCTTGCGTGGTATCAAGGACAACCGTCGGTTCGTCCCCGCTACGCGTGCAAATGAGTCGCGGTATCAGGGATTATAGTATCCGGAATTCACTGACCGCTGGAGAAGAACATGGGCACCGAAGCTCATGGGGCGCGGATAGAATTCACGTTTTCCTATGCCAGCTAGAAGGAATATCGTTGAAAAAAACGAGGAATTGCTACAGACGCTTCATGACTTACATTCTGATTTCACCCATCTAAAACCGAGAAATCATCTCATGCACACACGCACGGATCACAGGTAGCACTTACAGGTTGTTCCCGTCAACCAAGCACAACGCTACAATTTTCGTGCTGAAAACAAGTTTTGCCAGATGGACGATACGATCAAAATTAGCATCACTTTTCGTATCCCAAATGTTGAACCTGCGGGCGAGTCAGTTTACCGCCACACTATATGTCTGCGATAACCCTTACTTGTACAAGGCCCGCCGTCGCTCCAACTCATCAGGCGGATTGGGAGGCGCCAGGTACCCTAGCTCCTCATACATCTGCTCTTCGCGCGCCGCTCGGCTCGCCTTACCTGGCAATGTATCCGATGCTACCCTGGCATTACGGATAGCACCGTCACGAGTATTAGGCAGAGGTGATGATGTCTGCCGCGTCAAGCACAGGCGGCGCGGAATGGCCGGTACGGTGACGACACCTGACGGTTGGAATCCCGGCTCCGACGGACGTCGCTCGTACGGTCCTGAAGGTCTTTGACCCGTCAGGGAACTCGTGCGCATCGTCTTCGGCTGCCTGTTATAATTGGGGGTTTCTACATTTCCGAAGTAGTCGTTCGCATGGTCTTCACCGAGATGCGGTTTGACCGGCGCAGTAGCAGGAGGGAGGCGGTTAAGGGTAAATGTCGGCATGCCGTGCATTTCCTGATTTCCTTCGGACTGCGTGGTTTGGGGCTCCGGAGACGGGGAAGGGGTCGGGTCCCGGGCTATCGAAGAGTTCTCTGAATCTTCTACGTCCTGCGTTCCTTGCCAAAAGCTGCCTAGCCGCGTTTTGCGCCCTTCCCCGGGGGATGCAAGGGGTATATCAAGGTCAGAAGGGTGTGACCCTGGGATGATAGCATGATGACCTCGCAGGGGATCAGTTAGTTCGTGCTCAGGGGAGGGCAAGGCAAGTGGAGCCAACGATATCCGTGCGGCAGCCAGCCGCATGGTAGCCGTATGCGTAGCAATCTCAGGGCTGGACGCTGGAGGTCTATGGCCGATAGGAGGAGCTAGGGCGCTACGAAAGTCTGCGAAGGAATTGCGCAAACGATTAGCGGGCATGTTGATAGTGAGCGGGACAGGGAACCGCGGTTTGGGCTCCAAGAGTGATGATTTGCCTGCGCTATTGGAGGTGTAGCCAGTGGCATGAGAGGCGCTGGACCGAGTAGTTGACATTGTCGCTACGGAGTCGCTGCTTTCTGAGGGCTGCGTTTCCGGTGGTGTGTCCCCGAGGGTTTCCGGGGATACCTGGATACTTGAACCTGCTGAACGGGGTTCTGAACGATTCAGAAACTGCCAGTCGGAAAATGACATTGCATCTTGTGATTGCCGCTGCTCACCGGGTGAAGGGAGATTCGTCACTTCGTTAGGCGCGGGCACGTCCAGATCGAAATGCATCGGCGACTGAGCGGGCTCCGATGGTGTAGAAAAGTGTCCGCCGAGCCGCGACCTGGGAGGCTTGGGGGTTCGGAGGGGATCCCATCTGCCCGTGGCATAGGCTTCGATAAATGTAGCCCAGTCATAATCTGCTTCTACGGTGTCATGGGAAGAAGCATAATCCGAGAATGGGTCAGACTGCTCCGAGGTAGAGGTCGATGCATCGAATGGAGACGGCAGCCAACCTAGAGTGCCAGGTTGGAAAGAGCAGAGCAGAAGGATCGAATGTGTAGTGACGTACCTAGGTCGGACTGTACAATCTCTTCCGAACCCGCACGCCGATCGGACGCGCCGTCGTTACTCAAGGAACCGTCCCCTTCCGAGATACTATCCTGCCCCACTCGCGACGTACCAACATCTGATCGGAAGCCTTCATCTTGGATGTGCCTGCGCGCCTCGCTCGCGGCAGTCGTTGCTCGTATCACAGACGGCAAGACACTGGAATGTCCTTCAGCACTGGACGCGGTGGATGGTCTTGAAGGGCGCTTCGGTTCTCTCCTCGAAGGCACGGGTACTGATGGGACTGAAGATGATACTTGTTGAGAAACTGCCATCCGTGGGGAGCGAGAAGGGAGATTACTGGGTAAGAATGGGAGGTTAGGGTGGCTGCCATCGACAGGTTCTTTGTTAGCCTTGCTCTCCATCGGTTCTGCGTACACGCTCTGCTTCTTCAGTCCTCAGGCGCGGGTTCGGCCAAGGCAGTTGGCAGAGGGCGGTCAGCGGCCAATAATCTGCGGATTAGCGCGGAATGTACGGATAAGCATGCAGAAGGGAACCGAAAATAAACGGAAAGGAGCAGGCAGGCAGCAGGCAGCGAGCAAGTGCAGATCGACCGAATGCGCACCATCGCTCCAACCACTGCTCTCCTCCATGCTCGGCCGACCCCGGCCGTCTGACATCATCATCTGGACCCCTCTCCGGCCGTCGTTGCCCGGCCGGTCTCCGGGCCATGGACCACTCTCACTTTCATCTTGGTGGCGGTGCTGCACTGTCAGGCATCGGGGGCGCCCGGCACACACGTCGGGTCCAGGCAACGTCGAGATCAACCCCCGAGGTACACGTCAGCTCTAGTTAGGTCAAGTACATTCTGCGGTACGTTATACATCCGCTATCACCAGCATGCTCCACATATAGAGGGGCAGAGTTAGATTGTCATTCTGCTGCGACAGAGCCTCTAGAACGGAGGACAGAGCCGCGACCGCTGCGTACCGGACGATCTTTAGGGGTGATCGGTCAGTTACGCTTCAAAGTAAGGGCATACGAGGCGCACCGAGAACCGCTCCGTTAGACCGCACAGCTGCAGCAGCCATGCACAAGCGACGATTGACAGAGTGAACCCAGCACTACCTTCTAGCGTCTTCGGTGTGGTGATGGACCATCGGTGCCTCCCTATTCGCTTACCCACTATAGACGCCTATTTCCATGGTCAGGATCTACGGTCCGGGCGTATAAAGGCACCGACGTACTACAGCATCTCCGACACCCAGCACAAGAATGCCAGTGAAGGCAAGGAAACGTGTCGAACTGGTGAATCATGATGAGCAAGGATCAAATCGGCGCCCGAGTAAACCTTACCCCTCCAGCCAGACTGACCCAGCGCAGCCGGTCAATAGGTAGAAATGACTAAGTATCGCCGTTCCGCTGTCCTTGTGATCAAGGAACTCGTTCATGAACAAATGCACAGCCGCCCCAAAAGGATATAATGCGAAGAAGCGGACGTATTCCGCGAACGTGAACAGCGCAAAGGCGGCACTAAACGCGACATGTGTGAACGCAGGCTAAACGGATTGTAAGTCTCCGTTATTCCTTTAGAAAGTAAGATGCCCTTACGTCAAAGGCGACACCGGGCAGGAACATCGCAACGGCCAGAAGATGGAAACTCTTGCGCCTTGCATTCAGGCTCAGGGTCGGCACGCGTTTGTCAGCAGCGTCCAGAAAATCCGTGGCCGCACTTGACATCTGAGCGCCGTTCGGAAAATTGGGGAGATTCGGCAGATTGGCGAAAGACCGTCCTCCAGCCGCGGGCGGAGTCGCGGGAGCGCTAGCCTCAGGCGGAGTCGACGCGCCAAAGGAGTTGGGCACGGAGAAGGACTCGGCCGTGCCGGTCGACGGGTTCATAGAGCGATACCGCCTGGACCTTGCTAGCTGTCGATTCCACGTACCTACGCTGATAGATCCCAATAAACCCCAGTAAGCGAGAAGAGCCGGCCGACTCCACTTTTTCCGCCCCTGCAATAGCCAGAAGATGATATATAGCCAAGGGTCGCGGTTTCGTAGACACCAGCGCGTCCATATGCCGATGAGACCGCCAATAATGATAGCCGCTCCTCCGTAAAAGCCCAAGGCCAACGATCTGCGATAACCCATCCGCTCTTGTCGAACGCGAAGACGTCGGACAGATTGCTGGGCTATATGCCGAGACAGTACAAGGATCGGACAAAGCAGGAAGCCGGTGAGAAGAGAGCCAGGTATCATAGCAATCTGGTATATGAGCAGGGGAGTCGGCAAGCGGTAGGTCTTAATGTACGGCGTCGTCATCGGCCATATCTGAAGACGTCTTTACAAGTGAGCGCTGGAAATTTTGGCTGGAAGAAACGTACCCTCGCAATCGTCAAATTAGCCATCTCCATGAATAGCGCCGTCGCGCCAACAGACACCAGACCGAGCTCGCCGAGGGTGAAGCTGCGGTGCGCCAGGCGCACAGAGATGTACATCGCAAACTGGTAGAACAACGAGGCAGCGGCGACATCGAAGTAGTTCAAGTCTGGCGACCAGGTGATTCAGCCAACAAGCCTGGAAAAAATTTAGTGGAAGCGGTACGAACGTTGCCAGATGGGGGAGACAGCGTCCGCTAGCAACGCCTTCACAAGCAGCATGGCCAGGGTCGTGCTGAACGTGAAAAGTACGTACAGCCACGATTTACGGGCCTCGCTTCTCGGCACGGAGCGCCGCTCACCCTCGGGTTTACCAATACCCTCTGAAGCGCGGTATTCAGCCCAGAAGGAAGCGCATACATGAACAAGAAGGACAGTAGAACAAAGTGTCGCTAGGTTTACTGCGTTAAGGCGGGAAACAAGAAGGGCTTCCCCCGCGGTGCCAGGGTATGAAACATTTTCAAGGGCTGCGGGGGGCTCGACCAACCACGTCGAAGGCAACGTGCCACGGTCTCCATCAGGTCGTAGGCTGATCTTTACGGACGAGTACAACATGGCGGAGGCCGTCAGTGGACCTAGAAGAAGGGCTGTGCAGATGCCGTCATCGGAGGACTCTCTAGACTCAACCTTCAAACCTTTGTTCCCAGACCCCATGGCTTGAGAAAAATCGCGTACCTGTAGTTTTTCGGCACTGTCATCCAGACGAAGCTCTGATACTCCTTGCGAGAGACAGATATTATTCGCTTACTCTCCCGCGTATCACCGGGGCGGGGAGACGCGGGGCGAGGTATCTGTAGGGTCCCTCCTCGGGTCGGATGTGTCTCGGAAGTGGGATTTTCAGATGAAAGATGGCCCCAAATCATGTAAGTTACGGATGCCATGATCAGAAGCTGGAGTTCTGGGAAGGTAATGTAAACGAAATGTTGCAACACCAGAACGTGCACGGATGAGAACCTGTGGAAACTTGTATGTCTGGCGCAGACGTGAATTGTTCGGATGACAGCTTCTGCGTAACGTACGCCAGGGACGCAGCAAGCAGGAAACATTCACCCGCCTTTCTCGCGTCCATAGAAATTGTCCAGAGCTTTGCGGAGAAGGGCAAGCGAAATGAGAGATCGAGGGACGGAGGGAGAAGATACATATCGGACGTTCGGCGGTTACGTGAGGCCCATGAAGGAGAAGAGGTCCTCGGTATATCGGCGGCATTCATGGATTCCGCAGGAGGCATGGGGGAGCGTGAGCGCGTGAAGGAGGACCTACGGATGGAACCGTCACGGGAGTGTCTAGAATCAATAGGATGTAGTCCCTCAGACCCGTTACGAGAAAACCTAGAAGGCCGCGCAGTGATCTTGTTTTGTCCATACGACCGTCCTCGGGAGGTGATGTCTTCTACGTCTGTACCGTCTTCTTCATCTGTAGTAACCGACCCTGGACTGACAGGCATGAGAAGTCAGAAGCAGAACAAGTGCAGAGTATGTTCACATACCTAGATGGCCCTGCCTGGTAGCTTGTGCTCCAGTCTAGCGAGGCAGATGCCTGAAGGCCGACGTTCTGCACATGTGTTAGCAGCGGTGCAAGTTGCTTCCGTCCGGCTTTCCTAGTACTTTGCTGTTTCCGTTCTGCACGTCCGGACGTGGACTTGGACGCAGGAGGAGACGGCGAGGAATGTGAGCGCGGCAGTGTGGCAAATATTAAGGACAGTGATATACAAGGTTTAAGGAATCCAATGCATCCAGTAGGCTTCGGTGATAGCGTCGCGTTACACTGGCAGGCGCTTCCGGGTGGGTAAAGAGCCGCGAACACGCGAGCTGCACGCGAGAACCCAAATATAGCCAAATAAGGATCTACATGGATAAATAACGCGCTGTAATTACTTGACACGCGTTTCGACGCGTCCGGTACGAATAATATTGCTTCTCATTTCTTTAGGATATCTCTTCTCTCTGTCCTCGTTCCTCACTCTAACCATGGGAGACTCTATGCCTATCGTCTATCTTGAGGATCTGGAAACAAAGGCCAATGTTTCGGAGGTCGTAACGGCCACCCAGGTGGAACTAATTGCAAAAGCGGAAGTTACAGCATCAACAGTTAAACCCGTGGAATCTTCCACACAAAAGGCCAAAGCTTCCTCTGTCAAAAGACAAAGGACGCTCATGGATATGTTTGACACGTCAAAGGCGCCCAAAAAATCTAAACTTGCGGCTTCCGGGTCCTCCTCGAGTTTATCCGAGGAATCCGGTTCAGTGGAGGTCAAATCGACACGACCCGTGGTCAGAGTTGGAGGCCTGCAGCTCTTGAATACCATACCCTTTTCTATGGCGTCATACAGGGCAGCCTTATCAGAAGAACAGACGAGGCTACTCGAATTAGAATGCGAGACGATGGGCATGAGTTGGTTAGTCCCATAGTCGTCGTAAAGCGAAAAGCTTCCTACAGGTATTTTGCTGTGGACAGGTTAAAGTTACTCAAAGATGAGATAAAGAAGCCGTACTTCCTCGCCCTGAAAAGATTTTTGTGGGAGGAAGGAGTTACCAGCGCGGACGCCAAGGGCCATTCGGTCTTCCCTTCGCGTAAGTCTTGCAAGCTTATTTGAGTCACAAATACCTTCACCTTTATTTTAGCTAGGAACATCTATGCTTGGTCGCGCACCCCACTGGGAAAGCTGAAAGTCGTCATCATCGGACAAGATCCCTACCACGGCCCGGGGCAAGCTCATGGTGAGGGTCATTGGGAGCGTCACCTTCGCAATGTACCTGATGGTCCACCGTAATGATCCACAGGCCTCTGCTTCTCTGTTCCACCAGGTGTGGCGGTTCCACCGTCATTGAGAAACGTAAGGGGGGCTTGTGTTGTGCCATGTAGACTTGGTCTCACTTCTGTCGTTCGAAGATATATGCCGAGATTAAAGCCGAGTACCCCGAGTTCTCCCCCCCAAAGCACGGGTGAGTATTCGGACAGGTTCTTCGTCGCATGTTCCAGGATCGCCTTATGTTTTACGACCTAGGAACTTGACGGCATGGGCGGACAACGGCGTTCTGCTGCTGAACACGTGTTTGACAGTCCGAGCGGGAAACGCAGGTTCTCACTCCGGAAAAGGGTGGGAGGAGTTCACGGACAAAGTCGTTGATGTCGTGGATAAATATGGAGGCGCGAATCTCACTAGCGGGTCTTCGGGCAAGGCCGGGTACGGACGAGGCGTCGTCTTCCTGGCTTGGGGAAAGTGGGCGGCCAAACGTGTGGCAAAATTAGACAAGGTATGGCAGGTCTATCGTGCCCTATCGTGGATCTGATCCTCCGAGATGGCTGTAGAAAAAGCATCTGATCCTGACCAGTGCGGTGAGTTTAGTTTGTACGATCGTGCGAGCTTGGACCTGACTATCGACGCTGTGGACAGCACCCATCACCCCTCAGTGCCCACCAAGGTTTTCTAGGGAATGGGCACTTCAAGAAGGCTAATGAATGGCTGAAGGAGCGATATGGACCAGACGCGGTGGTGGACTGGTGTTCCCTTGAAGCGGCGCAGTGATCGCACCTCAACCGGGCGCCGCCCCTTCTGGTCCGCCGCGACAATCACCTGGCCCGGCCTGCCGCTCTGGGTAGACGCGCTGTATCGTGATGCTCGGTATGGATGATGCAGCAGCAAGATCCGAGACATGATATGGTCTGTGTTAAGGACGATGTGTAGCGAGACGGCGTTCCTCGCGGTGTGGCAGAGCGTCACGTGTTTGTGTACATTAACCGCAGAGAGAGTATCTGCAGAATCCCCGAGTCGCCACCGCTTCGAGTTCTAATGGCGCCAGGGCTGCCTCACTCCGGGGCCTGGGAGCAGCGAAGGACAGCGATCCACCTTCCACATTAGGAAAGCGGCCAGGTCAAAACGAGGTAAGATCGGATCGTGATGAGAAGCACCGTACCGAGGCCGAAGCTGTGAAGCCGTGCCTGATGCGCCGCTCCCCATGACTCGGTCACCGCAGCGTATCCTGCCGGTGGCAACGTACAGCGCTCGTTGTAGGCTCGCGTCCGACATCGCGGACGGCACTATCGTTACAGCAGAGAGAGTACATCGAAATAAATAAACTAGTATATCCAGTAGTTGCAGAGAGACGGGGATAATGCTTGTACATCTATGTGAATGCGAAGTAACCCAGAGCACTATCGATCGATTAGAGATACAGAATTTTCTTCCACCTATTGAGACCACCTATGCCATGTCCGATGTGACGACAGAATGTCCATGCACCTGGTCGTTGGGCGACACGGAGGGCGCGATCAGACCAGACCAGCTACGGCAGCTGGTTGATGCGCGCCAGTCCGGGGTTGTGTCCTGCACGGGGGACGTCGAGCAGTCGAGTGGGAGGCGAGAGACGCACTCCCCCCTGCTGCTGGGGCATGGTAGTCGGGGGCAGAGCCGTGTATTGCCCTACGTTCCCTCGGAAGCCGCCCAGTGGCTCCGTTATTGAACGTCTATGTGAATAGGGCAGGTTCGACAGCGCCGACCCCGGCTCGCGCTGCTGATACCCTGAGAGTGAAGAGAGGGACGGACTGTCGGACATTTGGGGCTGGTGATGGAGCGACCCTAGATTGGAAGTGGGGGAAAATCCGGGCTGCGAGTACGAATATTGCTGACTGTCCTCCCGGACGTCGCGCAATAGGAAGTTCGACCCGCTATCATAAGCGCCACTCGGAGGCGGTGGGCGATCAGCGGTATGGGCGTAATTGGGCGGCTCCGTCGGAATGTAGATGTTTCCAACAGACTGCCGCGAGGTCGATGGCAGCGGGTTGGTAGACATGGAGTATTGCGACGGGGATTTCTGGGACATTGATGGCGTGACGGCGGACAGGCGATAGGGAGCGGGTGCAGGGGAAGCGTGGCCGTCAGGCCGGCTGTCCCGTAAGAAAGCCTGGTCCCATGCAGCGTTATCCATCGCCTGAATGGTCGTGGGGGATGCGATTTGGGCGGCCATGGCCGACGGGGAAAGCGAGCTCGTTCGCGACGACTCGGCGGACGACGTCGCGCCACTGTTGGAGGCGAGGGGCGACGCCAATCCGGCGGACGTCGAGGCCCCGGCTGAGGAAAAGATCTTTGGCTTGTCTTTGCCCGTGGGGCCTTTCCCGAGCGGGGGACGGTTCGCCGGAGGCAGGTTCAGCGCTGCCCGCAGTCGGGTGTTCTCCTCCTCCACTTCCTCGAGCCGTTTCTCCATGGCCTTAATTACGACAGGCAAGTGAGCGGTGGTCAGCATGCCCGCGTATGGGACGGAATAGAAAGCGGAGACGGTACCTGCAAGTGGGCCGCCCTCCTCGCTCTGAACGCTCTCTGCACATCCCGGGCACGGTTGGGGGGGAGGTTGTCGTTCCTCTTCCTACCTCGCTTTGACGACATACGGTAGAGCTGGGGGCGTCAGGGACGAGCGTAAATACGGGAACGTCGAGGGAATGGCAGCGATAAAAGAAAAGACGAGGGCCGGTGCAATGTGCATCGGGGCAATTGAACCGTTGGCTTAGCCGCGCCGGGAGGGAGATCGAGGCTGGACCCTGATCCTAAATTGCTTCTGCAGAGCCGACACACGCCTGTCTGGTGGGCGCCCAAAAGTCTATAAATGCTGTGTTACACTTTTTGATCTCATGCGACGACAGGGCACGGTCGAATAGACGCGAACGCTTCCTTTCTCGCAGCGCAGGGCCCCTGTTCTGTCGCCCATTCCTCCGTTTCACCGCCATCAACTTACCATGCCGCCGATGCCAACGGGCTTTAATGCACATGCAGCCCGGCATCCGCCGCGCCCTCACCAGTCTCCATGACAAGCTGCAGCGTTCACACCACTGTCTGCCGACTGCCCTCCACCTGCCTTATAAGGGAGGCATTTAATCGGTCGCCTTTGGGAGACTACTGCCTCGCAGGTTACCATCTCACGTGGACGTGATTACTCTCTAATTATCGCGAATATTCGTACATATTAACCTGCCACAGTGCCCCGAAACGGCCTCCGGAAAGCCACGGAATCTACCGTTACATAACAGACCGCAGACCCCCGGCACGGCGTTTCAGCCTCGCCCGCGGGCCGCCTCCTTTCTGGCGGTGGCTCGCTCCCTATCCCGCTTGGCGAACAGTTTGTTCCTTGTCGTGTTGGCCTCGCGTGCCAGCTTTTTGTTCGCCGACTTGTTCTGCTCCATGTACGACATGTGCTGCCCGCCGCTCAGCGCGGTCAGCGAGCCCGTCGTGCGTTGCGCCGGCGCCACCTTCGTAGGCAGCCCAAAGTCCTTCGATGTCACCGTCCCTGCCAGATCCCCCTCGCCAGCCCTGACATCGTTGCCAAGGTCTGCGTCGCTCTCGTTGGCTAACAGCACGGAGGACAGCAGCTCGATTTGTTCGTCGCGCGTCCGGTAGACTAGGTCTGGGAGCTTTTCGAGGCCGTCCAGATGGGTAATGACTTTGAAGGAATAGCCCTGGTCGATCAGGAATTGTTGCCGCTTTGTACTGTAGAACATCTCCTGGGTATCCTTAGACACCAGGGAATAGAAAAAGGCATTGAAGCCCTCGTCGTTACGGCGTTTGGCCCGCAGGATTCGCCCTGAACGATGTCAATCAGTCTATGGCCGCCCAGAGACAGCGCGCACATCACTCACCTAGGCGCTGAGCCTCCTGCCTACGCGACCCGAAATGAGACGAGATTTGGATGAGGCATGTAGCCTCCGGAAGATCGATAGAGGTGTCTCCGACCTACCGAGCAGTCAGCCGACCGGAGTGCCCAAGCGATATAATATTTGACTGACCTTGGACAGGAAAATAGTGTTGACCGCCGGGTTGTGCTGGAAGTTTTGCAATATACGCATCCGTTCCACTTGCCCGGTGCCCCCGTGAATATATAGCTTCCCGAGCTTCTTCGCGTACGCCTACAGAGCGGACAGTCAAACAAAATCACCTGAGTAGCAGTGCCGTGACATACCTCCAAAGCGAAGACATTGTCGGAAAAGACTATGATCTTGTCTCCTCGTTCCTCGTGATACTTGATAAGGAACTGACAAGCCTGGAACTTCTTGGGGTTCATACAATACAGGAGCATGCGTTTTCGAGACTGCTCGCGCAGGTACTCCCGATAGAACTCGGGGGTCATCGGGCACCACACTTCCGCACACTGCACAAGGCTCTGTCAGAAAAGCAAGAAGCCGTGCCGCAGGGTTACTGACCTGCACATTGGCGATGTGGCCTTTGGCGGCCAGATCCATCCAGTTGGCCTCGTACAATTTAGGCCCAATCATGTAGTTGAGGTCCGCGATCTTATCGTCCTCACGGACAAGAGTAGCTATAGAATCCCAAGGACATCAGTTTTACGACACGCCACCGCATGCTCGGAGGTAAACGCACCGGTCAAACCCAACTTTGAATGAGCCTTAATGGTAGTGACAACCCGTCGGAACATAGCGGCCGGTACAACGTGCACTTCATCTAACAAGATGAAGCCCCATTCTCTGGACGTCAGAAACTCCATCATCTTCTTCGACTCGTGTGATCTGTTGTGGGTGTTCGCGACCATGGAATAGGTGGATATCACGATACCGCTCTCTCCTGCGAACTACGAGCGTCTCGTGCGTCAGCCAATGGAAAGAGGGCCATGACGGCGAGTTAGTAACGCGAGCTCACCTTCTCCTTCTGATCTGCGGTGAAGACAGCAATTTGTCGGTCCGTTACGTTCGACCACTGCATGAATTGTGCCTTCCACTGCATAACCGACACCCTAGGGTAAGGCAGCGGCTTGTCATGAACCCCATTCCGCGGCCGGTGAATAGGAAGAGCACTCACGATGATGTACAGAGCACCAGACAGGACTTCTTGATGGTACATGCTGCGGTAATCCCAACCAGGGTCTTCCCTGCGCCACAAGGGAGCACAATAATACCCGACCGCGCACGGCTATGTAATCCCGACTAAGCCAGAACCTAGAGCGGAATTGTACAAGCCCACTTACCCGTTACCGAACATCTTGCTCAGACTCGTTTCCTGATATGGTCGAATTACAGTGGCAGGCTTGAGATCGATATCCAGATTGGCATTGATAGTGTCGTTCCGGAAGTCGTACTCTTCCAACATAGGGTACTCGAGCTCATTGCAACGTTTTTTCACATCCTTCCACGGTGTCAATTGACTAACATGAAATACGAAAGCGTACTACTCACGTCGATTTTGGAGTCGTCAATCTCAAACGAATGCACGTTATCATCCTCGTCCTCAATGTCGTCTAGAGATAGAATGGTGAGAAAAGGATGCAACACCCGCGATGTCTCGCTACAACGAACCGGAATCGACGCCAACCACCGAGGTAAATAACTCGGCGTCCAAAGTGGAAGGACCTTGCGCGCTCTGCGTACCCGTTTTGCCACTATTCAGGTCGTCCCTCTTCTTTTCAGCCTCCTTAGTGCCGGGGATTACAAGGTTACCCTTGATCGGGGCCTTACTTGTCGTGAAGGTGTTGGCTTTGATGCTCTTGTCCGTAGTCTGAGAGATTACGCGAGCCTCCCGAATTACTTTGTCCTTGAGCAGGAACTGGAGAGTTTCAGGATGGCTAGACTCGATGTAATATTTGTTATGCTTGAGGACGAGTTTGACCTTCCCGTACGACAGAGTCCGCTCGCGAATGAAATTGATGATACTTTCCGGCACAGGGACCTTGGACGGCCTCAACTATCTGTACGAGGAAATTCACCAGTGCACTGACCTTGGAAAGGCGATTCAACACCTTCAACGTCAAACAAAATTAGCGGTGGGGACTATAACAGACACAGCGTATACGGACTTCGATGATGTCTTCCGTCTGGAGACCGACGGAAACAGCAGCGTACAGAGAATAGGAAGTGAGCTTATACTCGTGTATGAAAGCCGGCCTGCAGGCGCGAGGTCTAGACGGTATCTACCACAGGAATCGCAGCATGCATACCTGCTGACAGGTTCACTAATGGCTACAAGAAAGTCCTGAGCTTGCTCGGCTATAGGTGAGAAGGCTTCCAAAATGATGTGTCCATCTTCTGGGCTTATCCAGATTGGCCTGGATGCATGATCTGGCTTCAGATGAAGCCAGGAAAAATCCTGATCCATAAAAATATGCGACACAAGCTTGTCCTGCTGTCGTCGGTGAGCATCAAGGGTGGAGTCGGAAGGATCTTCGTCAGTGTCCCGTCTCGCCGCTGCTAGCTTGCGGGTCAAGGCGCTGAAATTGATAGTTGCGGCTCGCGGCACAAGGGAAGTATCTGGAGGAGACCCGGAATCATCTATATCGACATAGTCGTCTTGGTCACCGACCCTCCTTGACCGTTTCGAGGAAGAGTCAGCATCTGTGAAAGCTGTTGTCCTGGTCAGCTTGACGCGCGTGGCAGGCGAGTGAAACATACGAACTCTCAGCAGCGCGCTTCATACGATCTCTCTACCTCCAGACAAAATCCAACAGCAATATCCAGCGATGAAAGTCTACAGTCAGCAACAGGGCAGTAAGGTCGGTGGATGTGGCTCGGACAGCTTGAAGCTACGAACTTAGACAGGACGCGAGAAGCGCACTCGACTTAGTAAGCGAGTCGGCGCTTCAAAAAAGGGCCACGCAACGACAGCGACGTCTGCTCCTTCGTCGTGTTCCGCGTCCGAGCTACGCTCATCTCACGTTTACCTTTTCTTGAGTTTTACTCCATCTATTCTTCTTGTCAAAATGTGGAAACGCGCAACAAGTGAAGTAACTGGTACAAATGAAAGTGAGTCTCAGCATAAAACCTCTGCTTTATATGCAACTAATACTGTGTTGTAGTTCCTCTGGGGACCAGGAGGAGGTTCGGTCCAGCACCTACTGAAGAAACAGCGCCGCCTCAGCTCGCTCAACCATCGCCTTCTGCTTTTCCCCGTCAGCAGCCGCAAAACCACCAGGAAAGTCCCAGGAGAGATAGGGAGGATACTCCTGGATCCACGGATGGAAAGAGTGAGTCTCGCATTACCGGGGGTATTCTCACATCCTTCGTTCCGGAATCATCACAGCGATGTCGCGCGATTCGACTTAGATTATACGTGCTTCGGCGTGGATAATCATTAACTCTGATTACTGACCTGCGTACTGACACTAACCAACCGTTGTTTCCTCACATCCTTTACATTAGCTGATTCCGGTCCTCGTAAACGTCGTAGCCGCTGGGGTGATGCAAAGACAGAGATCCCAGGATTGCCCACAGCCATCGCTGCTAATGGTGTCTCTCAAGCTCAGCTCGACAACTATGCCATTCATCTCAGGCTGGAGGAGATCAACCGTAAATTACGGCTCAACGACTTCATTCCGCCTGAGAAAGAACGGTACGTCTTAGCCCTGGTCTGGTACTGAGGAGTTCATCCACTCACCCTCTTTATGCACGATTAGGTCTCCTTCCCCGCCCCCAACATATGATGCTCATGGACGTAGGACTAACACTCGTGAAGTGCGTTACCGTAAGAAGCTCGAAGAGGAGCGCGTGAGACTTGTCGAACGCGCCATGAAAAACGATCCCAATTTCCGTCCGCCTGTCGAATATCATCAGCAAAAGAGGTCGCAGCGCCCTTCCGAGAAGGTCTATATTCCCGTGAAAGAGTTCCCTGAAATTAACTTCTTCGGGCTGCTCGTCGGTCCTCGTGGCAACAGCTTGAAGAAGATGGAGAGAGAAAGCGGGGCGAAAATCAGTATCAGGGGAAAGGGCAGTGTCAAAGAGGGCAAAGCACGGCCGGAACAGTACGCAGAAGATGCTGAAGAGGACCTCCACTGTCTTGTTACTGCTGACACCCCCGAGAAGGTGGCCGCGTGCGTTAAAGCAATTAACAAAGTCATTGAAACTGTAAGTGCGCCACTTGCATTTTTTGCCCGCTCTGGTCCTGATAGTGTTCTAGGCGGCATCTACCCCTGAGGGGCAAAATGATCACAAGCGGAATCAGCTGCGTGAGCTTGCGGCTCTGAACGGTACCCTCCGAGATGATGAAAACCAGGTCTGCCAGAACTGCGGTAACGTTGGCCACCGGAAGTACGACTGTCCGGAGCAGAGAAATTTCACTGCGAACATCATCTGCCGTGTCTGTGGAAGCGCTGGGCATATGGCACGAGACTGTGTTGCTAACAAAGATCCTAACGCTATGCTAGGGGCAGGCGGACCGCCGCCAGGACCGTCCCCGCCCATGGGGAGAGGTGGATTTGATTCGGAGTACGCCAGCCTCATGGCGGAGTTGGGAGAAACTGGGAATCGCGGTAACGGTGGTGGAGGGAGCGGCCCGTGGATGGCGTCCGCTGGTCATGATATCACTGCTGGTGGCTCTAATATCCCTCCTTGGCGTCGTCCAGAAGCTTGGATCAACAGCGTTCCCACAAATCCTCCTCAGCAGGCTGGATACCCTGCGCCTCAAGGTGGTTACGGAGGTTATGCGGGGGCAGCGGGAGGCTACGGCGCCGGCTGGGGCACTCAAGGTTATTCACAAGGAGGGGCTTACCCGCAACAGACTCAAGATTACTCTGCGAATTACGCCCAATACTACCAGAACCAATACGCGCAGCAGCAAACTATGACTCCGACGCATTAAAGCTCAAGGAAGAATCGGTAACACTAAATCCTCTCCCAATCCTCGTCCTCACCCGGCTTACACTCCGACTGACTCGGACCATTGATCCTTTTCATCCGTCTCTGTTAACTGGTCCTTGGTGCAGAGGCCTCCACCATGTAGATTATCCGGCTCACATTCGGCTAACTGTAGCTTTTTAGGCCTTTCTCCCTTGTTCCCCTTTGGCAATGTAACTGACCGGTTATTATTCACGTCTTGTACTCTACGAGTAAGCTCTCCTTCGAGATGCATAAATTGTCCATGTAGTAGGTCGTCATCGCAACTTCGACGTCAAGAGGTTCTCCGTCTTTTCTTCCCCTTTTCCTTGCGCTTCCCATCGGCATTATCATTGCGCGCTGGAGTTACGTCCTCATGTGTATCGTCGAGACCGGATTGCGCCTTCCTTTTCTCAGTATTGGCGCCGATGTCCCTTATCTCACGCTGTTCAGACTTGATGAAGCATGCCACGAAGAACCCATTCGTGGCATCATCCCCAGGACGACAACGTATGACAGACGGGGCTTGTTCTAAGTACGTATGATGAGGAGCGGTAGTTGTAAAGAGTCGCAGTCAAAACTCTCACCAGCATCATCCATTTCTTCAGGAATGCCCCTACGGGGCCAATCAGGTAAAACCATTTCCTTCGGCGCGAGCTTATAGTTGGAAGCCTGGGCCTCCTCAGAATTTAGTGCCTGGCATACAACCCGCTCGTTCTCTGCTGCGTGAATACTACAAGTCGAGTAGGCGATCTTAACGACCCCGGGAACTGGAGCGACATAAGTGGAAACGCACAGCGAAAGCTCAAATTACTCTCACATTTCATGGCATGTCTGATCATGCTAAGTTGGAACCCGGAGAGCTTGTTCAGGCGCTCTGTATCTACTGCTTCGTTCTCATCCTCTTGTGATTGCCGATCAATACAAGACGAACAGAGTCCTAACAACACATACCTCGTTCCAAGAGATAATCTAATCGGTTTACGATGCCAGATCCGCTGCATGAAGGATCCAGCAGACTGCGAGATTGGGTTGTCTCAGTAGGACGACCGGTGGGCTTGAATGGAGACACTAACATGTGTGTTACGGCAGCGTACTTCTTGTCATCAGGAGACACACTCAAGAAATCGGCGTTGATGGTCTCTACGTTTTTGCACCCGGCCTTTCTGAGCATTCCCTGCAGCGTGGAGAAACGCTTCTGATCCCGTTCGAATGCGAAAAGCTAGAATGACATAAATAGGCTTATCTGAGAGTCTGGAAGTTAAATATGAATGGCTCTCACCCTGCCTTTACCCTTCATTAGCGCACTGAGATGTGAGGTTTTATTGCCAGGAGCGGCCGTAGCATCGATGACCGCGCCGTCATCCGAAGATGGTGGTGCCAGGACGAGGGCGGGGAAGCATGAGGCCTTGTCTTGGAGAATGAGCTTCCCGGCCTTGTACGCAGGGTCCTCCTGGAACTGGGTCTGCGAGGAGAACAGAAAAAGATTCGGAACGTGTTGATCTTGGGCAAACTCTTTTCTGAAAGGAGAATAAAGTGATGCACGGAGCTGCAGACATCCGGATTGCACTACCTTGATACAGACTCCGACGGTGTGAATCCGCGAGAGATGAATGACTGGATTGCTTCCTCCGCGGTCCAGAGCAGGGTGTTGACTCGTACGTAACGGGGAATCTTGACTGTACAGAATGATAATGACGTTGAGGGATACGCCACAGAAAGGACTTGTGCTAAGACAGACCTGCTCGAGGATCCTCCGGTTGGGCCAGTTCTTGGTTCGACTTCGCACCCCGTTTAATCTTGAGTCTTTGGAACTCGCTGTGAAGTCTGGTTTTGTGCCGGAGGATAGCTGCCTTTATCGGGCCGTCCCCCGCTTCAATGCCGTTCGAGAGCAGAAGGTCGTGTACCAGGACTAAGGCGAGGTTGAGGGTCGTGATTTTCTTTTCTTCTTTCAATAGTTTCGAAGCAACGACGACATCGGTTAGGACTGCCTTGTCTGAAAGTGGTTGAGCCCCAAAAGACGCCTTATGTCTAGGTAACTCACATTTGAGAGTCTCGATGACTAGGGCCGCAGTTCGTTTCCTGTCTTTCTCGGGGAGCGTCGCCAGAGTGCCCTTAATCGAGCCTTGCTTTGCGTCGAGACGATCGAGAGTCTTAGCGGCTTGAAAATAGAAATTCATTGGTATGCAGCTAATACAGTACATTAGGCATTGTGCGCAACATAGTCAACTGGAAATGGCGCAACTGATGGCCAGTGGAGACGTAAACAGAATTGTCAATGTAATTATATGCCTAGACCAAGTTGCATTGCATACGGCAAGCAGTGATCTGGTGCCCAATGAATCAGTTAGGGGTACACAAGGGCATTGAAAAGAATGTCAAAGAAGTAAATGGGATCAGGACGAAGTTGAAGTCGTCACGCCTGGACATGTCCAGTCTGACAATGTAGATAAGGTTTCGAGAGCATCATGCAGCCACTAAATCAGTATGTCAAAGACGCTCACCTTGGAACGCATCCCCTTCGCTGTGTCCAGACAGTCTCGCTGGTCCAGCTTGGTGGCGGAGGTAGCAGCGCAAATGCAAAGTTCGCGAATTTCAAGAAATTTAACCGTGGGAACGTTGCGTCGCGTGGCTGCTGCATTGGGTGCATCTCCCTGAGCCTTGCTCGCCTTTGGCTCGCTTCCGTCTTCGACTTGTGCTACGAAAGTGAGTCTTATTCGGTAGGAGACTGAAGCTACCTGCGGCAGAGAATGACTTCCGGTAGTGCCAGTCGAAGTAGAGCTTTACGAGCTTCTCGGAGTCTCGGTGGACGCAAGTGAAGGTGCGCCAGATAGGGTATTCTTGACTTCTAGACCTTACCAAGGATTCATGTTGCAGATGAAATCAAGAAGGCGTATCGGAAAAAGGTCACTTAGATATTTACCGCGTCCTCGACCCTTGGGCTCACTTACTCACAGGCAAAAGAACATCATCCAGTGAGTTCTCCTGCTCCTCGAGGTGCTGTATCGTCATAGTAAGCACTTTATTACAGGACAAGGTATGTCGTACTATCATGCGACGTTCGCAACCTCATGCTGTTTGCTCAGAACCCCAATGATCCCGAAGCAAGCCAGAAGTTCCAAGAAATGGCCGCTGCGTTCGTACTAGGATGCGCCCTTGCCGCCCCTTTTCCGTACTTACCGTGGTTGCTGCTCACAGGTATGAGATCTTAAGTGATCCCAATAAGCGCGAAGTGTACGACTCCTATGGGATGGATGGTGTGGCAGGGCGGGGAGGCAAAGGAGGTGGACCACCAGGGATGGACCCTGCAGACATCTTCGCAGAATTCTTCGGGGGAGGGGGTCCCGGCATGTTCTCATTCGACTTTGGCGGTGGTCCTAGGTCAGGACGGCGGAGAGGCTCCCAGGACTCGATTATCGAGTACGATGTCACATTGGAGGATTTATATAACGGCAAGTCTGTGAAGATGAACATGGAGAGAGAGGTTGTCTGTGAGTCGTGTAAAGGGTGCGTCGTCCGCTTCCCGTTCGTGCTCGATTTGACGGTAATCCATTCGTCAGGTCCGGTGCACGTGGAAGTGCAAAGCCTAGGAAATGTGTCAAGTGTGAGGGCAAGGGCTGGACTTATGTACACAGTCAGGTACGCGGCCAACAAATTTCTCGCGATACAACTAGTGTCCGATGTCGCCCTAGATTGGCCCTTCACAGTTAGCGACGTCAAGGGCTGTGTGTTCCGAGTGCGACGGGGAAGGAGAGAAACTGCGAGAGAAAGACAGGTGTGGGCCGCTTGGCATGCAGTTTAGGACAAATGTCCTGAATCTTGTTCAAGGTGCAAAAAATGTAAAGGGGAGAAGACGGTCAAGGAGAAGACGCGACAAGAAATCCACATTGAAAAGGGCATGTCCGACCGCCAGAGGATCGTCCTTGCGGGCGCTGGTGACCAAACGGTACTCTCATCCTTGTTCTAATGATGATGTCTTGCTGCGATCTGACGCTCCTAATTCCGCCAGCCCGGGAGTCCCCCTGGAGACGTCGTGTTTGTTCTCAAATTAAAACAGCACGAGTCTTTTGAACGCTCTGGCAACGACCTCCTGGCGACAGTCAAGATCACCCTGTCAGAAGCTCTTCTTGGTTTCTCGCGGGTGCTGATCACCCATCTTGATGGGCGCGGTGTCCGAGTGTCGAGCCCACCTGGTAAGGTAGTCAAGTTTGGCGATACAATTGTGCTGCGAGGGGAGGGAATGCCAACATACAAGCGCCCCGATGAGAAGGGTGATTTGTACGTTGTCATGCAAGTAGAAATGCCAGACGAAGAATGGCTGCGGTCGACTGATCGGGCGGTACGTTGCACTGACGGGTTGGGAGCACGGTATACAAGCTGACACTTTTCGCCGATATTCCTGTAGGCCCTGGAAAAACTGCTTCCACCCAAGAAGGCGGAGGTAGACCCGCTGCCGGCCGTAGTGCACGAGGCGGACTACGAGGAATGTGACATTGCCGATGTGCGTGAGAGGTCTTTCCCGGCTGGGTCGAATTTCTTTGACGGCGGCTTTGCATCGCAGTTTGGCGAGGACGAAGATGGATGGGAAGACGAGGACGAGGACGAAGATGATTTCCACCCTGGCATGGGCGGCGAACCAGATTGCAGGCAACAATGAGAGTCTGGTCCCCTCCACCCTTGGTTTGCTTCGTGTATGTACCCCATCTGCATCGATACCCACCAGAATCTGCACAGATATCCTCGAAATATATAATACATTTGCATGCCCACCTCTACCGCGATTGTGCTTTGCAAGCTGAGGTTCCGGTCTCTTGACTGAACGCCAACACGTGGGCGCTAAAGCGCGAATTCGCGGAATCTGAAGATCCTCCACTATGACAGCCTTCGGTGCTACTGCTTGCTTTCCAACATCCTTCTTGAATCGCCAGAGGCGATCTATTTCTTGGTTCCATGACAGGTCTTCTGAAACTAGGCTTCCTTACTCTACCACTATGCTTACTTCCTTTAATCGCTGTACAAGCTGCTTCTAATACCGCTCGCATTCTGATTTACTCTGCCACTCGAGACTTTCGCCATGATTCCATCCCTACCGCTATCGACGCCCTGAAGGGGAAGGGCTCCTCTATTAATGTGTCTTTTGACAACACGGAAGATCAAAGCCAGTTCACGGACGATAATCTTAAGCAGTATGATGCGGTTCTATTCCTGGATAATACGGGAGAAGGTGGGTGAAGGGGCTTCTTCGGACGACGTCGACGCGGACGGGCTGCCAGTATGTACTCGCGCTGGTGGTTCTCTGCCAGATTGCCTTCCTGTCAAGAGGCGAATCTGAATCTGAGCATGATCTCAGCCAGGCAGATCTGCTCCCGGGCTCCCGAGATATATATGCAATTATACAAATAGGGATTCTGATTTGTTTTGACTGGGCAGTTCTGGACGACGAAGGCAAGGCGGCGTTCCAAAGGTACCTGGACCTTGGGGGCAACTTCGTGGGCGTCCACTCTGCGTCGGACTGTTTACGGAATACGACCTGGTATGGTCGGGAAATTGGTGAATGCTTGGTCTGCTGGGCTGCGTGTGCGGACTAGGAGGGCTTACCAGCGGCTGGCTTGAAGGGGCTTTCTTCGACTATCACCCTGAACTAACGAACGCCGTACGTCCTTCGCAGTGTACTCTGCAATGTACGGACTCATTGATAGGCTACCTCTCAGACTATCAATGTGATCGATGGTTCGCATCCCAGTACGAGCATGCTTCCCGCTCAGTGGCACGTCCTGGACGAGATGTGAGTGGCGCCACTCGCACCTTGCGCGCGAATGACAAGCCTCCTTCACCTTCTCCAGGTATAATTTCAAATCCGATCCTCGCGCCGTAGGTGCTGTCGTCGCACTATCCGCTGACGAATCGAGCTATTCAGGTAATGCTTCGTGACTGGCTGCACGGGTCATGTATTCAGCTGTACCTTTTGCAGACCCTGGCCCGCGGAACTATGACCAGGGAATGCCTCACCCTACAGGTGCGTCCTCCCGCTATCCTTGTCGGCCGCGCCGATCCACTGAGAACATCATAGCATGGTACCAGGAGCACGGCGCGGGTGTGCAGAGCAATGGCACCGCTGGACGGAGCTTCTACACAAGCTTGGGCCACTTGAACGAAACATGGCGGGTGCGTCTCGCATAAGAACTCTGCCTAACTGCGTCGAATCGGGCCATAAATAGGATGAGCTCTTCCTTGCCCACGTCCTGGGGGGGATCACCTGGACGCTGCAGGCCAATACGACGCTGGCGTTCAACACGAGCGCCCAGGTCGGGAATCCCGGTGCATCGAGCACGTCTTCGTCGGTCTCTAGTGCTCCCACCGCGAGTCAGTCGGGGAAGACGTCGGGGTGAGTCGTGTCATACTGTTCCTGAAGAATCAGCTTGATAATTTGTATTACCCACTTCTCGTTCTGGCTCTAGTTCACAAGCCCAATTTGAATCATGGTTGAACGGGGGTATTGTTCTGAGCCTACTTCTCACGATATTTTTCCTATAATATGGTCTATCCGTCTGGCAATCCTTCTCGTACCCTACATGCAGTCTATTGATTTGCTAATAGTATTTGCCATTCGACATCTGGATCAGGCGGTTGACTACAGGAAACCCAATAGAGCCTCGTACCAGTAATCGGAATTAACGAAGATTCGTTTCCCAGAGGGCGGCCATAGTGGATAGTAGTGGGGTCTCTGTAATGGCCATATATCAGGGAGTCGACTGAAGCTTGAAGTCCAAGGACCAGTGGCAGTGTTTCGAAGCCGCCGAGTGCAGAAAGCTGTGCAAGGCACGTGGTATCAATGTACGGAGACTTGCGATCGACGTCAACTTGCACGGACAATTACCCATGTGAAATATAGCAAAGTGTACAATATCTCCCCGATGACGCCGAGGAGGTATCTCAGGCATGGTCATATGGCGCAATTTCCCGCACTTTCCCCGCTCTCAGGCTTGTACACGGTCGCAGGCAAGCGGGACCACGCTCGTCATCTCACCAGACAGCGACGACGATGACTGCCCGAATCCTGCTGTTTTCCGCCACCAAAGGCTACCGGCACGACTCGATTCCTGCCTCGATTGAGGCGCTGAAGAAGAAGGGACCGTCTATCAACGTCGAGTTTGACGATACGGAGGACACCACTCAATTCCGGGATGACATACTGACAAAGTACGACGCTGTGATTTTTCTGAACAGCTGTGGGGATGGTGTGTCGCGTTCGTTGAGTAATCTTGATGGATATCGAATGATCTTGTATCTCAGTCCTGGACGACGAGGGAATAGCGGCGTTCCAGAGGTACCTGGATAGCGGAGGGAACTTCGTCGGCATCCACTGCGCCGCCGCGACGTGCGAGAACGCGCCCTGCGTGGGCAAGGAGCTCGGGGCGTACTTTGATTACCATCCGCCGCTCCAAGAGTCGGCAAGTAACGAGAGGATCGACATTCTACGTCCCGCAACCTAACGTGCATACCTCACAAGGTCGTGGAAGTCATCGACAAATCGCACCCCAGCACCGCACATCTGCCAGACAAATGGCGGGTGCTGGACGAAATGTGCGTTCGACACCAAACTGAAATAATCGCTGTTGGCCTAGCAAAGTGGATGTTAACCCCTCCCTGCGGTGCAGGTACAACTTCAAGTCGGACCCCCGCGAGGTCGGCGCCAAAGTCATCATCACCGCCGACGAGACCAGCTACGAAGGTCGGTTCTCCACACCTTTCTCCATCTTCCCCGGACTCATACTCATATTCCATGAATAGACCCAGGACCCAGGAAGTTCGACCATGGCTCACCGCACCCCATCGGTAAACAAACACATCCATCTCCTCGCACACCAAATAACCTCAACACTCACTGTAGCGTGGTACCAAGAACGCGGCGCGGGCGTCCAGCCAGGCGGCACCGCCGGCCGCAGCTTCTTCACCGGCCTTGGGCACTCCATCGAGATCTGGTCGGTGAGTCACCCATACTCGAGTATGCCATGGAGCAAATGTGCAGACTGTGACAATGGAATGCAATTGATATTTAGGACGAGACGTTCCTCTCACATGTGCTAGGCGGGATCGCCTGGACGCTGCAGTTGGGCACTACGCGCGCTTTCAACCCGGCTGCCAAGGTGGGGAATGCGGGCAATTGACGGATGGTGGTGCGGATCGTCGAGGATGTTTGTGGCTTCAACGCCGTGCTACTTTGAATGCTGTCACTGCAACTGTAATTGTAACTGTACCACCGATCAAGGGTCCACAGGATTGCTCGACTGTCCAGTGTGAGGCCAGCATCGTGGCAAGACATCATGATCATGCGGAAGTGATACCATCCAAAGGTATCTACAGCTGCTATGCACAGACGCCGATCAAAACTCTTCGCTGTAGGCATTCAGAGCAGGCTGTCCGCCTAGATGGACATACAGGACCTTGCTGGACGGGGCTATTTCACCTGACCGGACAAGGTGAATCAACCCTGCCAGGCTCTTGCCTTCGTACTATTCGAGTAGAAGGAATGTAATCAGCGTCTCAAGCTCTGCAACGAGGAAATGGTGGAGCAATACTGACGACCGGATCGGTAATGAAAGCTTCCAGCTGCGCACCGAGCCGCATCGCTGCCTTGGTCTGCTCGTCCGGAATTCCGTACATCCCTGCGTGGAATCGCTCGTCCAGCACGACAGCGTCGTCCGGCAGCCGTGCGTCCGGATCGAGCAGCGCCAGCGTATCCTTCGCTATATTGCTGCGTCGACCCGTTAATTGCATCGTACTCCTCAAAAGCATAATGGACGTCGAAAGACTCACGTTACCTGCGCCTTCGTATCCACAGGCCGCCCACTCGCGTCGATCCCGATAACCTTACGCCCGCGGCCCTCCAACAGCGCGCCAACGGCGATCCCCGAGTGCGAAGACCCCGTAACCGAGCACACCACGATCGTGTCGAAGAATACGCCGAGGTCCTTCTCCTGTCCAGCAAGCTCGACGATAAAGTCCACTGTACAAGGACAACGCCGATCACAGGTTTAGCTAAACATCACACAATAATAGCCATAGGCAGATCCGGGAGGACGACGCACCGAACCCGAGCGCGCCCAGGGGATGCAGGGACGCCCCCGCCGGGATGCTGTACGGCTAACAATAGCTTTAGCTTTAGCTCAGGGTTGCGGGGCCGGGGGAAGGGCGTGGCTACGCAGACAGACCTGACCACGCTCACGCCCACGCACCTTTGCCCCACGATCCTTGAGCTCTCGGACCGCGGCGTCTAGCGACGCCTTGGGCCCGATGTGGAAGCACTCCGAGTTGAGCCGGACGTCGCCGCCCATGAGCCGCGAGAGGAGGATGTTCCCAGTCTGCGTATAAGAGAAGAGGTCAGGCAGATGCGATAGGAACGCGCGATCGATCGAACGTGTGCCGTCTGGACCCGCATCTACGTCAACTTCCACTGCACGCTGCTGTGCTCCAAAGCCATGGGAAGCAGACAACGCGGCAGCGAAGTGGAGCAGACTCGGGACCGGCGGGAAACCACAGCAGGGACAGAAGTGTGAACGTCCTCACTTACCTTATCGTACAATGGTGGGTTATACGGAACCCACGCTTCCTGCAAAGTGACGGCCTGCCGGCTTTCAATCAGTATCGTCTAAAATTGGCACGCAGACCGGTAGCGGTAACTCCCCCCGATACCGGTAGTGCACAGAGGACCCGCGTTTGACGCACCTTGAGCCCCGAGGCAGCGGCGCACGCCGTCACCGCCCTCGTATGGTTGCTCTGCACGCCGCCGATTGAGACGAGCGTGTCTGCGCCCTCCTTGAGCGCGTCTGCTACAACGTACTCGAGCTGTTACCCACAGACCGGGCTTGTCAGTACGTCCCTCGGAGACGACAGGAGTCAGACGCACCTTGCGGACCTTGTTCCCTCCGTAGGCAAGGCCGGAGTTGCAATCCTCGCGTTTCGCCCATATGGACGCGCCGCCGAGGTGGGCGGAAAGGCGCGGGAGATGCTGCACTGGGGACGGGCCGAACTGCGAACATTTCGAGGTCAGCTCTCACTTCAAGGACATTGACACTCGGAAGCGTTGGCGTAAGCTCGCGGAGCACTGCTTGGTGTAGATTCGAAGAGGCGGGCACCGTCTGCTGGTTCAGCCCTCACACGCGGGAGTTGCGCGCCGTGCACCATCCTATCATCCACCTCGGGCTCTATCTGAGGGTCAAGAATCCACTCACTAGGAATCTCTCCTTCGGGAATGAGCGTAGTTTGCTGACCCACCCTGGAAGTTGCGCAGCAGTAGCGGCCATCTCCAAGCTTTCTAACACTTGTTGTTCTATCGCCTGCTGGCACGACTCAAGGACCCATCTCTGATACAGTACTCGATCTGATATACAGTATGTCGTCGGCACAAGTCGGTTCAAGTCCCGATGGAAGTAGGCTCCGAGATTCTTATCATTACGATAGTCGGGATTGACGCGGTTGCGGAAGAGTCTGGGTCACGATCAGGAGGACGCTTGAGTGTTCGTCGAAGCTATATCCCATCCCCAAGCGATTATTCCGCGCTGGGAGGGGATATGGATTCGCACACCAAAACTTCGAGAGAGCACGGGTTTCGTGTTGTTGGGCGTACAAGCACGAAGTAAACGTCGAGCAAGGCTTGCTACACGCCCAGTCTAAAAAAGGGTTTCGGCAAGGTCAGACCCCAGACCCCACCAGGCCCTACGCGTGACATCGACTCGATATAAAAACCGAGGATCAACTTGGCCTCTACTTGACTCGTATGTCGAGTCAAGGTCGGAGTCGGGCATCAAGCTGACATCCGGGCTGGACAACGAGAAAGCGGGTTTTCTGGCCAGCGGGCTTTCACATTTCATACAGCTGCTTGATTTTATTGCTCCTTGAATATGAATAAGAAAATGAAGCATATATTGCAATGCTATCTACAGACACTGTGTATATACAGTACATATAATCTTGTAAATACCAAACTACCTGTCGCAGTCACACCTATTAGAGCCCGCCTGCCACAATGAAACAGCACATTCTGCACATGATCATGAGCATAGTAGACCATGATGATATTACAATACACGTACCCGATTCACCCTGACCCCAGACACACTCCACCGACCAAAGCTCAATATTTGAGTGAATAAGATATCCTTCCGAGTGTTCCTGTATGAATGTGAGTGACGTGTCGGGGAAAGTTCGTCATCACTTACCAGTTAGCAATGAATGTCGGACGTCGCAGCCAGAGCTCTGTCACCCAGACAGTCTACTGTCTCGTGGTGCGGCGGACGGGCGAGTGAGCGACAAGGAGCGGGAGATCGGAGCGAGAATGAGAGTGAAAGACGGAGTTGAAGAAGTGGAACGACTTGAACCACGGGTGAAGTCGCTCGAGTTCAATCTCCGCTCGAATTCAGTTCGCGTCAGACACGTCCTGTCCTTGAATTTCTCTAAGTCCCACAAACAGATAGTGGGGACTTGTGTAGCACTCCTTACGCCGTAGTACTACATCTGTTCTGGTTACTCTAATCAATCTTATTAATACCTAAAATACTTTGAGGCCTCAAGTCATCCTGTAGTCCAAGGTACAGCCTTTATATGCAGCGCAAGGTATCATCTCTACCTGAGGTTACGAGCTAATGCCCAGTAAAGCCCAAAGAGGATGTCAACTCGGTATCAGGGCGGTCTTGCTCAGATATCCCTCGCTAAGTCTCAAGAAGACGCCGCTCTGACCTCAGCGCTGACATCTCAAATGATGGCGCACACATCTCTGGGCAGAAATGCCGAAACAAGGTAACGTCGGGGTCTACCGGGCCTTCCGAAGCGAGGTCGACGCGAGACCTCGGCTGCGACCTCACGAGAACCTTACGACGCATTGGGCGTGTACCAACGTCTACGTCCAGCCGCCAACCCGTCCGAACAAACCCGAGCCGAACCCGGGCTATTTCCGAGCCTGATGTGGCCAAGGCCCGTTGCCACAATCTATGGCTATGGTCTTATGCCTGTCTAAGCACATAATACAGTGCGTACTACCACGACTACCTCTTACACAAATTACACGCTACTACACGGAGTGGGGCATATAAGCATAGTCACAATACTCCCCGCTAGAAGTGGAAGCAGTGTCTCCCCAGGCGCATATTCTTACAAATTCATACCCCTGCAACACCTTCAATCAACACCCAAAGCCCTCTCGCTCGCGCGTAGCATCCCCGTAACATGGAACAAAGTCGAGGTCCGGATTCTCCTTAAATGCAAACCGGTCTGAGCAGGGCCTAAGTCAGCAAAAGCAGCAACAGGTCTGTCTGGACGAAACACGCACAGATCCGATGATCACCCGCGTCGAACGTGTAGCCAAAGTAATCTTCCTTGTGCCATGCCCTCGACGGCCAGCACTGGTCGCATTCGTCGTCGAAGTCTTCTTCGTCGTCCTCGTCCTCGTCCTCATCCCCGTCCTCATCCATAACATCCTCCGCTCGCTGTCGCTTAGGCAGCTTCGCCGGCCGGTAGTCGTGGTGATAACCCAGGCGATCAACGTAGTTGCACTCCGTCGCGGCATACAGTGCAGATCGTTGGCTATCCCACGCGAGGGAAGTGACTCCGTTGTTGCCCGTGGCGAGCTCGTAGACAGCCGCCCGCGCGCGGACGTCCCAGACTTTGATTTCTTCCTGCTTGAGTGCGCCGGTGATGGCAGCTGCAGGAGCCGCGGTCAGCACCTGGAACAAGACGGCGAGAAGAACACAGCTCACTTGGAATCCCATCTGGATGGACGATCAAGCCGGCAGGACAAAACCCACTCAGCGCGCCTACGTCAAACGTCACAACAGGCAAGGTCTCGCGCCGATCATATAGCCGCGCGTACCCGTCCGTACACGCCGTCAGAAAAACGTTCGGGTCCCCCGCACTGACCGAGAAGTCCATGACAATCCCGCCGTGCCCAAGATACCGTTTCCCGACCTTCCCCTCTGCAAGATCCAGCTCGAACACCGAGTAATCGCTCGTCTCGTGCGGCTCGCCCGTGGCGCTCAGGACGGTGCTCGACCCCGGTGCGACTTGCGTCCACACGCTCGGCTTGAGGTTCTTGTCCTTAACGCCGGTAAACTCGATGGTCGAGTGGCGCTCGTTGCCGCTGGACAACTCAATCTCGTCGGGGTCGTCGCGCCACGAATCCTCTATGTCGAGAGTGCCCTCGCCGATCAACTCGTTCTCGAGGTGCGTGTCAAGCTCATCAACCTTCCACATCGCCGCAGAGCCCTTGCCCGCGCGGACGACAGTCCCATTCGCCAGCACCGCGAGCGGGCCGTCGAACCCGCCCGACGCAAGCGTGTGCATCGGCACCCCGCCCTTCGACCTGGACCGGCGCTGCTGCTCTCCAGGAACCCAGGAGAAGGACTTGACCCGCCGCGAGTCGGCCAGCCAGACGAGCTTGCGCTCCTCATCCGCGAAGACCTCGCGCGCGACCTCCGACAGTTTCGGGTACACCGTGTGCGCGTCGGGGAAGTCCGTATTGTCGTTGAGCAGGTACAGGTTCAGCACCGGGTCGCGGTTCTTGTACCCGCCCGCCATGTTGAGCGCCAGGCAGGTGTTGCCGGCGGACAAGGAAAGGCCGATAGGAGAGGGGACGCTGTCGCTTGTAACCTCGCAGCGCGCCTGGTAGATGATGTTCGCGAGGGGTGTAGATGAGGTCGGGGTAAGGGCGGTGTGCGATGTGAACCGCGCGAGCGGCGTGGAGAGCGGATGGCGCTTGTTGGCCGGGGTCCAGGCCTGGGGGCCGCGGAACATCGCCTTTTCTTTCGCTGTCAGTTTGTCTGTGCGGAGGGGTTTGATTGGGTGATCAGCGAGCTGGGAGGACGTGGACGTACCGCTGTCGGGGTCGACACCCATCCGTCTGAGGATGGGCAGCAGCCCTTCGAGAGCAAACGCAGCTGCACAGAGTCGACTCAACACTGTAACAGAAATAGGATAGAGTAGCCTCACGCACACAAAAACCTGCCCTCCCCTTGCTCCTCAACGAGCGAGGCATCGTCCGCGTGAGCAAAGGACGGCATGAAATCGTATAGGTCGAGGTCGCCGTACGCAGCATCGATGGCCTCATTGAGAATCTCGCTCACGCTGGACACGATTTCAGCGAGATCTGCAGAACCGCCTGCCTGAGCCCTGCGGACAACGGCGCAAGCGTCTTTGAGGATGGCCTTGAAGTATCTGCGGTCGTTCTTGCCATCGTCGTCTCTGAGCTTCTCGTTCCTGTTGTATCTCGCGAGGCGGGTTTTCAAGTCTTTTATCTGCTGTTGGTGAGCCATCGGATCCGTCGGCGAGAGTAAGAAATTAGGAACAAGAGCAGTGGCGGCGCCCGACGCGTTTAATTAGGGACGCGCCGTGATGTGACAAGACGCGACTGTCACAGAAGAATGCCAAACCGGCACGATCGAGAAAAAGGTGAAAACATATCGATACAGCACATAATATACACATTCTAGTCTTCGAACTTCTTTTCCTTTATCCCTTGGAGTACTCGCTCACGCCCCCACCCGTGCCTTCGCCCCCTGCGTCGAAATGTCAATCCCCAGCAAATCCTTCCCCGCCCGCACCTCCTCCGGGCTGGGCATCAACCCGAGCCGCATCAGCTCGCTCGCCTTGCTCACCACCGGGTCCTTCTGCATGCTCGCCACCGCGACAATCTTCCCGCCCTTGACGTAGTACGCGATGAACTGCTCATAGTCCACGTTAATCTCCCGCATTCCATAACCCCGGAAAAGAAGCAGACAAAGGTAGAGGGGCAAATGGGGAGCAAAAACGCACCTTCATCTCCCCTGGATCGCCCTCGACGATCACGTCCTCGAACTGCGCGCCGACGCCGACGTAGCGCAGCTGCTGGCCCTCTACATCCCACCAACGCCCGTCAACACCATAAAACACGAAAGGTAAGGCAAACGCGAGCACTCACGCGCACTCCAAAACACAGGTATCTTCACAAACGGCTGCGCATCCCCCGCAATACTTTTCCCCGCCGCGCGGCCCTGGTTCCCCGCGACCTGCATCCATCATCAGCACCCCGTCCTACCACCCAACCGCCCCACGCCAAAATCCCAACCCAAAGAGAAACACTCACATTCCAATGCTCAATCCTCCTCATCTCCCCCGTCCCTGGCTGAGGATACATCGCAATATCCCCCACCGCATATACGTCCTTTACCCCTTTCACTCTTAAATACTCGTCCACGAGCACCGCGCCGCCCTTCTCCAGGTTCCCCTGCCCATTCCCGTCATCCACCGCGAACCCCTTGCTTGCGGGACTCTTGAGGTACTCTGTCGCGGGCGCGACGCCGACGCCCATGACGACGACATCCGCGGGGATCGTCTGCCCGGCGACGACCACGCCGCCGACTTTTGATGGGTCTGAGGACGAGGGCACGAGCCTGTCGAGCTTGGACTTCATGTGGAACTTTACGCCTTGGGATTCGTGGTACTACAAGTGACATCAGTTATCTCGTAGAGAGGAAGGGGCAGGGGGAAACGGACCTTCATGAGCCCCGCGCCGACTTGCTTGCCCAGCACGGCCTCGAATGGCACCTCCTCCATGCCCACCACCTCGATCGCCGCCAGCTTGCGCTTCGCGACCGCGACGACGAGCTCCATACTGATGAACGAGCTCCCCACCACGACCAAGCGCTTGCCCTCCTGGCACACTGCGAAGCGCGCATATTCAGCAAAGAGCGGTTATAAGGAAATAGAAAGTGAGAGTATACGGACATGCGTCGATGGCCTGTGCGTCCTTGACGGTGCGCAGGGTGAACACGTTGCCCAGGTCCGCGCCTTCGACGGGGAGCGTGCGGGGCGTCCCGCCCGACGCGAGGACGAGTGTATCATAGGCCATTTGTTCGCCCGTGGAGAGGGTGACGGACTTGGCGACCGCATCCACCGCGGTGACTCCCTACATGCAGGAAGGGCGGGTTGGCAGGAGGTGAGGAGAAAGAAGAGAGGACTTGCCGTTCCGGTGCGCATAGACAAGCCGTACTTGATCTTGAGGTCGGCGGGGGTGCGCCATTCGAGCTTGGAGGCGTCGGTGATGAGGGCTTTGCTCAACTTCGTTCTACCGACTCCGGGTGAGTTGAGTATATGCGCATACATGCGGTGGGTGTTACCTGTCAATAGGCGCATATGGCTCCTTTGATATCATTGTGATGGGGCCCTTGTAGCCATGCTGCAGGCTAGCATATCATCGACTGCATCTCTCTCCAAGGTGCCTTTCACTCACCTCGCGCAGACTTTCGACAGTGTGGAACGCCCCGCTACCCCCACCCACAATTACGACCCCGTTCTTCGCTGTCCCTCCCACAGTCCCCTCGAACCCGCTCGCCAGCAGCTTCGGCGGGCGCGACTTTGCCTCGCTCGTAACCTTGGAGGGATCCGCGGTAACATAGATCTTGCCGTCCGTGACGTGGGTGTTGAACGAGTGAATAGCATCGGGCGCAGGTGCGTCCTCGATGTCGCCGGTGCAGACGTTGAAGCAGGCGCCGTGCCAGGGGCAGACGACGCGACCGTCGGCGGTGAGGACGCCCTTGGCGAGGGGCGCGCCATAGTGGGTGCAGAAGGCGGAGGTGGCGTGGATCTTGTCACCGAGGCGGGAGAGCAGGACTTTGCCTTTCTCGAACTCGACTTCTTTCCTGTGTGGCCGGGTTAGTAAGGTGGACCAGCGAGCAAGACGGGGCGTACATCTGGCCGTCGGCGAGGTCGGACTGGTCGAGGACGGCGACGGTCTTGACGGACATGTTGCGAATTGTTGGGACGGCGAGCTGGTGTCTGAGGCGGCTGAGACGAAGAGCAGCGCGCATTCGAGGACGGCGGACGCGTCTGCGAGGGTTATCAGGACTGGACGCTCTCCGGTGATGTCATCTCTGACCGCCCAATGGGAGCCCGCTATTTACGTCCGCTGACGTCTGATCTAGATCCAATTTACTAGCTGTCTTCTCATTGGCTCTACGTGGTTGTAATGTACAAAGACCTTCCCTTCCGTGGCCGCCTGGCGAAATGGCATCGCGTCTGACTACGATCAGGATGCAACTTGTCCCCAGTCGAAATCAGGAGATTGCAGGTTCGAGCCCTGCGGTGGTCATGGATGAATTCTTGTTTTTTTTGCAAGTGGTTGAGCTCCAGCTTCAAGACCAGTTTGTCACCCTACAGTTCACTGTCATGTCTATGGAGGCAGGGTCTCCCATTTTTCTCTGCATTCTGAAGCGCGGCTAGTGCATGCATAGCCCCCGCAATGCCATCGTTCTCCGTCGAGATATGACCACACAAATCCCACAAACGCGAGTACGACTTGTAGTCAAACGACATGCCAGTGTGCTCCAGTCTGTCTATCATTAGGTCCTTCGTAGAGAAAATACGGGACTCCCCGGCGTATATGTAACATAGCTATGGGCGCTATATATCCCTATTCTCATAGATCTCCACCACGACGGTGACAACGCAATAATCCAGTCGTACTTGCGTTTGTAGGTGTAGCGAAGCTAGTGCATAACTTGAATGAGGCAGCGCCAACACTGGAAGACGTGAGTAAACAGTTAAGCTGCCCTCGCCCCCGGGCCCTCCGAGCCTCACCCTGATCGTCGCGCGAAACAGCATCAACTTGGACAAGCGCTGCGAAATCCCTGGCGCTCTGTCTTTGAAGTGTCTTCTATCCGATCAAGAGCAGAGTGCTGCTTTACTGGAACGGCTTCGCCCGCTCCTGCCGACCGCGAGGTTGCGCAAGTTGAACCGCAAGATCCACAGACAAGCCAAGCAGTACGCCATGCTTACCTTCGTCATCCGGAAATCGCTGAGCTACCTATGAAGCGCCCATGATCCAGCTGCGGGACTAGGGGCCCTCAGCATCCCTGCCGAGCTACTCCTGCTGATCTTCGAATGCCTAGGAGACCACCGGGATGTCGCCTCTCTTTGCCTGAGCAACAAGGCCTTGTGGTGGATCGGCTTCGAGTATCTGACAAGAGCGATACAGGTGCAGCCAGACAGATGGCAGGGAGACCGCATTCTCTGCCTCGGCAGCCGCTCGACCGACCTGCCCGAAGGCGTCCTCACACCCGCAGACGAAGCGGCGATGGAGGCGGACACGAAGAAACACGGCATGCATCCCTGGCGCACCCCGTCCGAGTTCTTCCACCAGCACCTCCCCGATTGCTCCAAACCCCCTTCTGACACTGTGCGCCGAGCCAGGAATCGCGTCTACAGCGGCCAATGGGCGCTCTGCAACGTGTCAAAGCGCCAGTACGTGCGCGCGGAGGGCCTTCCGAAGGTCGGTGGCCGGCAGATCCACTTCGGCGACGTCCTCCTCTCGCAGATCTGCTGGTCCAGCGATCCGCTCACCAGCATGAAATACGAGGGGAACCTCAATCGCGGTGCTTGGGCCGGAGACCGCTTCGCGATCACCACCCTGCATGAGCTAGAGGCCCGATCGAGACAGGAGCCTGAGGGGACGTGGCTGGATGTTTCCGGAGATGTGATGAAGACGGTAGTGGATGTGTATCGGCCGTGATTCGGGGCAGAAGCAACTGTAACACTGGTCCCACGCGTCGTTGGGAGTGTTTGGCTCGGCTCAAGGTCGAGTCAGTACGGGAGGCCTTTTCCGACATTTCTTGAAGCCCTATGTATAGTAGGTTTATCGCATCCGCCGCTGTGGCATCACCACTGGCGGGCCGGTAGCCTCCGAGTGGCTAGGAGCCAGGACCTATAGCTATCCAACTCTGTAATCTGTCCTTCTGCGCATAGAGTATTTCAGGAGCTCCCGTCCGAGTCCTCTGTGTCAAGTTGTGACGATCCTGTAAACACTACAGGTCCGAGTCACGAGTCTGCAAGCGCTGATAGGTAGTGATACACTGATCATGATAGGCCTGAACGAGTTGCCACGGGTGACTACTACTCCCGTTGTTGCGGTTCATAAACTGCAACGACCGTCATCATATCGACGACGGGACTAGGCTGGTGCCACTTTGACTGTGCAGAGCATCAGGCTGCAAGTGCATATCCTCATAGGAAGAGGTAGCATCCAACAGATACTTGCTAGTACTAGTCGCAGTGGCCTACTAGTAGGAAGCGCAAGTTTCAGATAATGGCGAGGGCTCAATTTTGGGGGATGTGAGTCATTCTGATGCTCAATCTGAGCCCCATCCTGAGCATTACGTGCAACAGTATGAACGTCGACAAATGGCGTCTAATCCCTCGTGCAGGCTCGCTGATTAAGAGCTTGTCCGACGAAGAATACTGGCAGAGTGCGGAGCTGCTGAAGCGGGTGCATCCGCTTCTGCCAACCCCCGAGCTGCAGGAATTGAACACCGCAATCCTGGCAAATGCCAAAAAGTAGGCTGTCCAATCATTCGTGCTTCGTAACCGGTTCCTGATCTTTCTCATAGCCCGCGAGATCCGGCTGCGGGACTCGGCAAGCTCGCTCTCCCTCTGGAGCTGCTGGAAATTATCCTTGAACTCATTGAGGGTCCAAGCGATATTGCATGTCTTTGTGGGTGCAACAAGACGCTGTGGGCAATTGGCTATAAGTACCTGGTGAAGGCATCGCAGGCATACCCAAACAACTGGCAGGGTGACCGCATCCTGTGTCTCGGCGATCGTTCTGACGACTTGCCGGAAGGTCTCCTTGCGCCTGAAGAGCAGAAGGAGCTGGAGAAGCTAGAAAGGAAATACCATTTCCGGCCCACGGGGCGCATCTTGACCTTCATGTGTCAGCGCGCCATCCCTCGATCCCCTCCAGGTAATCATTGGACAGTTCGGCCCGACGAGTTCGATGTCTATGACGGGCGGTGGATTCTCTGTAACTCGTCGAAGCGTCAATATGTGCGGGCAGACACTGTAAGAGAGATCGCGGGTGACGCGGTAAACCTCGGGGACGTCCTTCTCTCGCAGATCTGCTGGTCCAGCTGTCCTGATATCGGCATCAGCGGATACGAGGGCGACGTCCATCGTGGCCTTTGGGCAGGAGACCGTTTTCTGATTACCACGTTGGACGAGCTAAAGGATGATCAATTGGAGCATGAGGGGATATGGCAGGACATGTCGGGAGACGTGATGCAGAAAGTGTTGGAAATTTGGAGACGTATTCACGGTCCTGACTGGCCCGAGACGGCCCCCTCGAATTAGCGAGAGTAGGACTGTCATTTACCGCGTTGCGTCGCACCTGGCCGTCATGTCGGTGGAAGTATCTGTCCATTGTTCAACTCGGTACGTTTCAATTCTCACCAAGGACTATAATATGTCAGTATTGTACAAGTCCCTCGCGCGCTACATTACGCTTGCCAAGTAACATCGCAGCATTTGCTTCCGCTACGCTTCTTTATTGCGCCACGTGCTAAGTAGTAAGATCTGGGAATCCCAGTTGTGCGGTACGCCGACAGATCTCCGGGAACCACCACTGGGGAGCCTTGAGACTCACGAGCAGCAGGAAATAGGTTATAGAAGACGCCCTCGAGAAGCGCGTTCGAAAGCGTCCGGGTGACGGTTATCGTGATACAGTATTGAGATTCGTCGCAGGCGGTGCCCTAGCTGTAGGATGGATCGACACATGGAAAACGTACCGGTGTAACCATTAGTAGCGGCACGTCTTCTAATATGGACAAGGAGGGATTTGTTCCCGAGAAAACAGGCCCTGAGCTCGTGGAAACGGCCACCCTAATATACATGCAGGAATTGGGTGCATGGGTGAGGACGGAGGGCATGGCGCTCCTAAATGAAGGGATGGCCTGGAATACGGAAGGGCGGGGAAGACGGCGTGGGGTACTACGCCCACGCTGAAAGGAATATAGCGTAAGGGACATTGCATGGAATTAGAGTCGCTGGCTGAACGCAATTCACGCGACGGATGCTAGAATAGTCCCACAACGATGATTTAATTGCGTTGACCAGTCTATCTGCGGAGATAGCAGCAGTTGCGCTATATATGTGAGTGACACAAAGATAGCAAGGCGCTCACCGGTACTGTTCGGTAGGCAAGCCACCCCCACTCTCAAGCCACTGGTCACATCACCCGGGAACAAACCGGGATATACTCTGGACTGCGAAGACTGCCCTATGAACATTTGACGACAGCTACGGCGGATTTAGAATCGCCTTGGCTCCACACTCATGCATAGGCTTAGAAATCTTGGTCGGCATACTTGACGTTGCGTTTTAGTATCAGGCTTGTCTGTACCTGCAGTTCTGGGGGAGACGAACACGCTTTCCGCAAGTCATGGAGAGTCGCCGCTGCACTGCAGACGCGTTCGCGTTCACTTGGTAAATCTCCGAGAATGCTAGGACAGCAGCGGTTGGACGGGGTAGGCAGTCGGTGTCAAGCTGTGCTCTATCTTTATGGGCATGCAGCCTATGACCGTGAAGGTGAAGAAAACCGTGAGAATGGCACACTGCTATGTATAGATTGTTTCTTACAGAGATGACGATCTCGGACGTTGTGTCAGACTTGCCTGACACGGGGGAGAGGTGGTGTTTCTTGACTTGTTTATCAGATTACAATGCCAAGAACGTACTTGGTGCTTACCCCACATCCGTAAGCGAGACGTTTAACGCAGACCTGGATGAACGACCGGCAGACTGCAAGAATGAAGAGAGGCCTCAGGCAGAGCAGCCGCGCGCGACGTGGAGCCAGTTGCAGTCGCATAGGCAGGTCTTGCTGGTCGATAAAAGCCTCAGGTTAATGTCCGACACAAGCGCCCGCATATGATTGTAGTGTGTAAGCTGATGCCAGTGGCCGTGCAGTGCTAGTGTCATCAGTCGACGCATTTGTGGATGCCCGGTCAGTGGGTTGGAGAGGTTTGTCAGATTGCAAATGCTTGCAACGACTCACCCCGTTCTCTTTCCGAAAAGGTGAAAAGAGCGGATAGCGTGCGCAGGAAATTGGAAACCCGGGGCAGCGACGTCGACCACCAGAGCCGTCGTCGTTACTGCGCCTTGATAAGGCCCCCCGATTCCCCGGGACGTCCCCGGAAGACCCAGTGCCGGGTTAGGCAAAACATTTGTCGGCTCGGCTGGACCCGGCAAAGGTCCGGGGAGCGGCCGGACCTTTCCACGCAATAATAATGAATTCGCGATTGACCCGAGCCCCGAGACGCGATGGCGCGAAATTGTCAGCACTGTACGCCCAAAAGCATTAAGCTTGTTCCCTCGTTCCTGCTCCCAGCCCCATATACCACCCGACTCGCGTCCTTACTCCTGTCCCCCCTCTATCATTATTCTAATTTCTCACTTTCTGGCTTTCCTCCCTCGGGCTCCGTCGATCCTACTCTTGCGCGCATTTCTCGGGCACGAGCATACTGATTGCTAAGACACCTTCTCATAACGCTCTAAACCTGGCTTTGGATTCGAATACGCGGTTCTCCTGCTCGCCGTCTTTGCTCGCCTCGAAGCGATCATGTCTCCCAAGCTCATAAAGCTGGTGGTCATCTCGGATATCGTGCGTAGTCCGGTACCTCTCCATGTACCACTGCTAATCCCGTCTCTGCTGCCCAGATATGCCCATGGTGCTACATCGGTCAGAAGGAGCTCCTTGCTGCCGTTGAGGAGATGTCGTCTGTTCCTGACGTCTGCCCCGTCGAATTCGACATCGAGTTCCGGCCGTTCCGCCTGTTAACCTCCCTAAAGGACGGGGAACCACCGGTAGACAAGATGACGTGGTACACGCAGCGGTTCGGTAAAGAGAAACTGGAGAATATCGAGAAGATGGTCGGGGCCCGGGCGGAGAAGGTCGGAGTGAAAATGTGAGTGCGGTTTCTATAGGTCAAGGCACCCGTCTCTGCTTTCGAGGCGGACACGGCGGGACATTGGACTGGGACCACGAGTAGGCCAAGTGCTATCGGATGTATTTAGCTGCGTCAGTTGCAGAATGATTTAGCCGCCGCCCAGCGCTGATTCCCCGGAGTGGGCCTGCACAACGCTCCGTGAGCTTCTTACTGACGGGCTCCTATCGTCAGCTCCTGGGGCGGCTTGCTATCGCAATCGACAGCCGCCCACCGCTTGATGCTGAAGGCGTGGAAGAAAGGAGGGCAGAGGCTCCAACAGCCCCTTCTGACGCTGCTATTCAAGGCGTTCCTCGAAGACGAGAAGGACATTGGAGATAAAGAGGTGTTAGCGGAGTGTGCCGAGGAGGCGGATGTGATGAGCAAGGATGAGGTACGTTATCCGTGCTGATTCCTTGGCGAACGTAGCAATATTGATGCCGCTGCCATACCGTAGGCTATCAAGTTTCTGCAGTCGGATGAATGTCGTGCGGAGGTGAATGCTATGATCGCGGACTCAAGAGCGAAAGGTATTACTGGTGTGCCTTTCACTATCATCGACGGGAAGTGGGCTGTGAGCGGAGGTCAGACCTCGGATGTGTATGTTCAGGTATGTTTTACATTTATTTCCTGCGCCGTCGGGAGAGGACCTCACACCGTTTTCGTCTCCGTGTTCGTTCAGATTTTCAAGAAGCTGGCGTCGATGGAGATACCAACCCCTACGGGCACGCCAGGCCCCTCAAAGTAAACCCTGCCCTCCTCCCCCATCATACCTCTTCACTCTAAACCCGGGCATTCGGACCGTCTTGACATATGGTCGGCATACCTACACTCTTCGTACCTGAGCAAGAATTTATTCACCTGTCATAGCCGTTGTATATATGGATCGCTGTAAAACCGCTTGTTGACCTTGGGGTTATTGTCGCCGTTTTTACATTGTCTTTTTAGTGTTTCCCCTCCTCTGCGCGTTAGCTGTTCCATCTAGGCTGTCTTTGGTATTTATATCACCCGTTTGCCAGCAACGGAATCCATACTGCTGGTTGTAGATGGTCATTGACACTGAAGGTTAGTAATGATTCGGTGCGATAAGGCGCGCAGCGGAACTTGCAATTGGTCGTGAAGACCATCCTTGCGAACGCTGTACCGGTAGATGTGACTACTACTGACCTACTGACATTTTGTCGGTGGATCCCCCTCGGAATATATACAGCCCTCTGAGGAGTCACTTCGTCCGGTACGGTAACGAAGGGGGCGCTAAGTTGCCGACTAGACCCATCACAAGGTAGGCCCCGTGTTTGCATCGCCTGCGCTGCGTGTCAACTCATAAAAGCACCCATCTCGTTTCATTGTCTGTGCATGCGAGTCCAGTGCTAGCGCTCTCCTCACCATGAGCAATCTTCTCTTGAAAGTGCCCCTGCTCGTCACCGCGACCGGCTGCTTTCAGCTGGCCGTCACTCCTCCGAACCCTGTGCCGTCAGGAGAGGAGCTGGTTGCCCCGAAGACTTTCGCTGAGAGGGTCATCCACAATGCGAGGGACAGCAGTACCCTGATCCCGAAGGTACGCGGGATTCGTAGCACTGCTTGCGCAGCAAAGCTGACAATCCTGCCCGCAGGTCCTTGCTTGGGCAGCTAGCGTCGCAGAGATCCTTACTATCCTAGCGCAGCACGACCGATTACCGGCGGCCACTCCGCCTGCAGTACTGCAGTACCTCGCACGCAACCGGGCCATTAGCGCGGTGGGCTTGGGTGCATCACCGACGTTCCTCGCTGGATCGCTGCTTGCGGTCGCCGGCGGGGCGATCCGATACTGGTGTTTCCGGACACTGGGACGCATGTTCACGTTCCAGCTGAGCATACGCAGGGACCACCAGCTCGTCACGAGCGGGCCGTACGCCGTCGTGCGCCACCCGAGCTACACGGGCCTCATGCTCGTCACCGTCGGTATCAACTTGTGTCTGCTCAGCCCCGGGTCGTGGGTGCGGGAGAGCGGCGTGCTGGAGACTGTCTTCGGGAAGTGCTGCCTTGCTTACTGGGTGGCTGTCTCCGCGGCGTTCCCGTTGGTCGTGATGAGGGCGCCGAGGGAGGATGAGCTGATGAAGAAACAGTTTGGTGCCCAATGGGAAGAGTGGGCGAAGAGAGTGCCGTACAGGCTTATTCCAGGGATCTATTGATACGGGCTGTGGCGTCGAAATCGAGCGCATCTTGGGGCGATGACTTGGAACTGCGAATCTATTGGCATGTTCACAGCCGGTGTAAACGCTGACCGTTGCAACACCGCTTGTTGACGTTGTTGCCGTTTTTATATTGTCCTTTCAGCGTCGTCCCTACATTGCAACCAGTGTTTCCGCATGGCACTGAATCGTCAGTTGCAAGTCAGTCGATTTGATGTACCCGATGGTGATTCGTGCGAGGGTAGGACATGCGAGAGGGCTTGAAGGGGATGACGGCACATTTGTAGCGGAGTCACCTAGCTTCTCGAGGCTATAACACCTGATTTCGGCGGCGGTCACTGATATTAAGTGTTACTTTGGACAAGCACAATGTAACTAAGTACTCGTAGTGTCCGCACGAGGGAGGGGTAAACGAGGGGCGTTGGTTAGTGGTCCATGGGGCCTAAGCAGCCCAAGCTGAGTTCTCCCCAGCTCTTCCTATCAGCGGCAGCTCGATCTACGACTTGCAATGAGAAAGTGAAACCAAGCACACCAAGGATATTCGCGCTCACGTGAACTCGCACTCATTCGTTGAGAGCGAAGCAGGTATCATCTTCGTTCATGATACACGAAGTGTAGTTCGACTCGCCGCACGCGCCGCACGCGAGCGTTTTGTTATTCCCGCAGTAGTTGGTGCATACGGCGCCGACGCTGTCCACGGTGGCGCATTGGCCTGGGCAGCCGGTGGGTGACGTGCAGACGCAGGTGCCGTTTTCCGCTATGAAGGCGTTGCCTACGTAGGCGAGGGCGCTGGTGGAGGCGAGGAGAGCTGAGAGGGTGCTTAGAAGATGCATGGCGGTCTGCTGGTGCTGGTTGGAAGTCAAAAGCGAGATCTGGGGTCCCGAGATCAATAATCCGGTGGGGTATCCTGTGCAGTCAGAACCGAGCGAGCCATTGCACTCGGACTTGACACCAGAATTCCCGCTACCGTAGGTAGTGGGTCTTGGACCCCCCGGCCGTTCGCAGGTTTCCTGCGATCGTTTCAAGATCTACGCGATCTATTTGACACTATTTGGCTCTTAACCGTATATGGCGGACGGCAGGACCGGCACACGGCTTTGGACCAATCAAAGATGGGGTCCTCAAAGGACCCCGATTGTAGAACCACGTGGCATCTCTCTTTCCATCTTTAGCCAAGGTGGCGGATGCTGGTCAAGGGACTCAAGAGAACAGACATGACCTAGCTTGGGGCGTTGGAGATGCGGTCTCCAGGTGAAAGCAGCATACTTCAATGTCAGCTGTTTTACATAAATGACTTGTATACTCAGAACCTGAGGGAGGAGTGAGTGGACATCTCTTCAAATCGTTGAGGTGAATGCTCAGTCGGAAATCATGGCTGGAACACAACTGCTTTCGCAAAATAAATATATTAGTATATGATGCTGCTCAGGATGTCAAGTTTTCAGC